ATAATGACCTCATATTTATAATGATAATAGCATTAAATATTTATCTGGTATAATCAGTCATTCATACATATCCTTGTATGTTTTGAGAATATTGCGTATGTTATTCCATAGGCTCTTCAGGAGTCTAAATATTTCTCATAACTTTAAACATTTGAATACGTTGCAACGTCTTTAAATTCGAATTCAATCAAAGTACTCTATGAGGCAATTTATACATATTGATATTGAGTACAAAATATGTGCTTCAGGCACATGTCCTTCAGAGATTTGCTTCATGCAATTTTAATCCTTCAAGGATTTTATTTAAAGGATTACACTTCATGACATATTATATAGCTTTATATCTAGCTATTTGTTCTGCTTGTACATTTTTTTAGGGAATTGTTTCTGGCGATATGTTCCATGTATTTAATAACCCTTAAAGATAACATGTTGATCTCCGTAAATGTGTAATAAAAAGGCATGATTGCATTTGTAAATATGGAGAACCTCAACATTCCTTGTTTCTACCAGAAACATTGTGTCATATAAAGTGAGTATATTCCTCTTTATTCTGAACACCTATATATAACCTGCAGGGTTAACATCTTTTTGGGGTTCGTACTATGGGTTTGTTCTTTCACATTTATTCTCTTCTGTAATGGAATTGCCTCTTTCCATTTTGGCCAATGATTTTGTCGACATTTAATAATAGAACGTGGCTTCAATCAACACAGCCCATTGATGATTTGAGTAGCTACTCCAAAACCAAAAATTGTCATTCATCAATTCGTGATCCCATCATTCTCATGTACATGCGCATTCATCAATTATAAGTATTTCTTTGCCTTCGGGTACCCAAGTCATTTCAGGGGCTTTTATTGTCTCTATCCAGACAGACACCTCTTATAAGATGAATTATGTGAGAATGTGGATCATAATCTCTAATGGAGAGTTATTTTATAATAGGGAGTGAATAATCTCAATTCAGGGAGTTGGAATATTTAGAACCCATATATCTGTCATGCTGCAAGCATGCCATAGATTAATACATACATGTCAATGAATTGTCCTTCTTGAACTTTAAACTATATAATTTGCTACGCATTAGGCGTGCACCATATTAATATTGACATGTTAATGAATTGTCTTTTTGGGACCTCAATCCATATCATTTGCTACACAATAAGTGTGCATCTCATTGATCACTGCTATGCTCATGTTTTGCTCTTCCGAGGCTTTAATTTATGCAGTGTATTATCAATGTATTCAACTTGCAATTTGTAAAATTTGCATTAATAATTCATGAAAACATATCAAGATCACATAAGCCATTCTTCTGGAATGGTCATAATACAAGTCATTCTTCTGGAACGATCCTTTGCATGGCATTCTTCTGGAACGGTCTTATCTTCCCATCTGGTTACCATTGAAGATGTTGTACAAAATATCAAAATAAGAGTACAAGCATGAAATAACACAAGTATTGCTTACATCCTTAGTGGGAGAAACTTTGCTCAAATATCATTCAAGCTCGTATCGGCTCAGCAAATATAATGGAACGCTTGATTATCTAGTTATATCCTGCAAGGCAAGAGCAAAAATCACAATTCTTTTCTTTGTCAAAACAAAATAACCCTCAGTGTTAGGTTCACTACATGGATTTGTTCTTCAAATAATGGTTCTAAAGAAACAAAAACCCTTACGAACAAAAAGTTATAAAAAGATAGAAAAGATACAAAGAATTGTGATATTGATTGCAAGGTAGGTAAGTAATCAGGGAAGGAAACTAGTGAGGTAACATACAACAAACTCTCATTTCTCCTAGCCTAGAAGAACTTCAAGAGATTAGAGCATGTGGTCGTCCTTACAATTCCCTGATCTAGCATAAACGTGATCAGGGATAGTCTCGCTTCCTGAATGGATGATCAGAGATAGTCTCGCTTCTCAAGCACGTCGAGTGCTCACTAATAGGAAAAACAAGTGGATATTGCATCACTAGATATGGAGAAAACTGGAGAAAACTGGATGTATTCTGCAAAAAAAATTTCTTTAGTAATATATTTATACACAAATTAGAGGAACAGTTTGATCCCGTGAATTTCAAATTAACTACAAAAATTTGTGAGGTGCTTGAGATGTTTTTGAAAAAAGTGACTCTATGAAATCTGTGAAAGCAAGATCGGCTTTGACAAAAATAGTCCTTGAACTCCCTAAAGTGCAAACAGACATCAATAGAGGCCACGTGAAGTTTTGAAATCTGGAAAAGAAAAAGAGAACATCGGGATCCTGGAAACATTGCCACATTTTCTTCTATAGATATTGCCTTTTTAAAGGCCTGATTGGAGTAACTGTGTTTCGACTTAAATTCCTTCCATTTTCTGAAAGTTCAGTTTTTCTAAGAACTTTCCTCGAAACTTTTTAAATGGCTTCTTCTTCTTCTCGCTCAAAACGTTTCGATTTAAATGTTGTTCCCAAAACAAGTCGTGATGCCAAAGTCTGGCGTCCATCCTTTGTATCCCAAAATCGTCATCTCACGGTCAATAACTCTGTGATGATGAATGATACAACTGCTATCATAGTAGCTAGTAATTTCCTTACTCCTATGAATGAAATACTATTAACAAGAAGGTCTGAGGAAGAAGCTATTGATGACTCAATGGCTTTTAGCATTCAGAGTGCTGCTTCTGTTTCTAACATGGCTGATCGTTTACGTGCCAGAGCAAACGAGATTCAGGAGGTGGACATTGAAAATTCATCTCTTCAGAGAATGCTTCATGAGGCTCATGGCTAAGCTTACGAGGCGCCGTCCTCTTTCTCTAGAGGCTTTCAAAACATAATGGAATTTTATAGATTTTAATAGAGCCTACTCTTTCCTTGCAGGTGAAAAAAATCTATTTGTTGTATGTTCTTTTCCTGTTATAATAATTGGGCAAATTCTTAAACTTGCATCTGTGGTTTGCATGTCTTTTCAAAATGACGGTTTGGAACCTTGTGCCATATAGGTTCAAATAACCACATAAAATCACTCAAATTATATATTTCAATACATGTGTGCCTGGAACTTCTGGCCCAGGTTAAACGCAACCTCATAATTTAACTGCCTTTTTCAAATTTGCATGAAATATGAATTGAGAAAAAGTCATAATATTGTAATATAGTAGTGAAGAGCATTAACTACCATATACCCAGAACTGCAAGTTCAAGATTTTTGATATATTGAGATCCATGGGGTTCCAACTCAGATCATATAAATAACAAAATATGTGGGGAACCTCAATTCATTATTTGAGGTTTTTCCTGATATTATTCATTTCACGGTGTATTCTTAACAACCGGAATTCACAAAATATATTTCTTACTTGAGGTGTCGATTGTGATAAAATCGAGCTTCATTTTTTTCTTATTACAAAGAAATATGTGGTATGCCCCAACTTGTAATAATACCTCAAGGGTTGTCCATTTAATTGTTGGAACTTCAGGTTCTCAACACTGTTAGATTTTTTACTTCAAACCGAAATCACATATTCTCATGGTATGAACATTCTTATAATTTCTTGTACATATTTCGGGACTTTAGGCCTTTACATAATTGTCCATGTTTTGAGGAACTTCTGGTATCTCATTTAATTGTTCATTCATGAGTTTAAGGTACTGCATGTTCCTTTTTGTATATAGTGACGGTTTACCCAAAATGGTTACTATTCATGCATACGTCACTTTTTGTAAGGTACTGCAGGTTCCTTTTTGTATATAGTGACGGTTTACCCAAAATGGTTACTATTTAGGCATACATCACTATTCATGTATACGGTACTATTCATCAATTCATGAATGTGATTTTTGTTCATACATACAGTACGTTTGCTAGTACAGATATCATTCATGTGTATGGCACCATTCACGTATACAGTACTATTCATAATACATTTGCCAATACATCTAATATTCATGTGTACGGCATTTTTCACGTATACAATACTGTTATATTATCAAGGAACTTCAGGTCCTTATTTACATATCAAGGATCAAGGATCTTTCAAGTCAATCACTTATTTCCAAATATAGTATCAAAGAGATTTCCAACTCTCATATCATTATCATCATCAAGGATCTTCAAGTCCTGATGTAGTTGTATGATGAGGATCAAAGAACTTTCTGGTCTTGATCTCTGTATGCTGTAAAACTCATCATATCACACAATCCTTTCATAACATAAATTGCTATAAATTGCTTGTAAATAAATTGCTAGTATGGACGATAAACCCGCTCCACCCTTTAAATAACAGTAAATGTGCGGTAAAATAAATTCATAAAGTAAATTGCTTGTTGTATGGACGTTAATTCCGCACCATACTTTAAATAAAAATAAATATGCGATAAAATAAATGTACTTGTATGGGTATTAATTCTACACCATACTTTAAATAGTAAAATAAATGTATGATAAAATAAATGTGCTTGTATGGGTATTAATTCTACACCATACTTTAAATAAAAGTAAATATGTGAAAAAATAAATGTGGGGGATAAAACCACCACCTAATATATATATATAGGTATATTATGTTACCATATACTATAACACACACATATGTGTGTGTGTGTATATAAGTACCCTAAACTATACATATAAATTTATAGCAATAGATATGTTTATGTTATATTGAATGATATATATAAGATGAAGATTCTGCATAAAAAGGTTAGGGATATGTGATCTAATCAAACACTAAAAACAAAAATTTCTTTTATAGCATCCATATGTATTTTTGCCTTCAACTTTGGAGAATCCTTGTGCAAAGAAGGCATTAGCCATAAACTTCATAAAATAGCATATATGGATGTTAGTGAAACAAATGAATTGAAATTCAATAAGAATTATAAGGAAGAGATATACAAAGATTGGAACTCTCCAAGAACCTCGGTTGATGAGAAATTCGTGCTGATAACGTGTTGTAAAACTAAGGGAATTGAGAGAGGATTTAGGAGAGTATGAATATGGAGAAAGAGCCATAGCAATGTTCTTATGGTTTCTCCTTCATCTTCTTATTAATTCATATGCCTATTTATAGGCATAATAGTTCCTGACAATATTACAATGGTAAGTTGATACATATATCATTGATGAGTTATATAGCACCAATAGTTAGGTATAGTGGGCATCCATTATTTGTATATTTATAACACCTATTGCTTTTTTCCAATACTTTGCCAATATTCATTTTCCCAAGCTTCCACTTGCCTAGTTGAGTTAGCCTTTCTCTCAAGAAAATCGCGGAGAGCCAGAGGATCATATGGAGGAGGCAGAGTGCATGGGAGTTCATCACTTGGAGACTTCACCATAGACTCCACCATGAACTTCTTCCATGTACCAGTTGCAGGGCATGCCATTTTTTCTGAGCACAGTTCCACTGCATTGAGAGGTATAGTTGGTTTGAATTTCAAGAGCTTTGCATATTCATTTAGCACATGAAACATGTAATCATACACATAGTCCATCTTTAGATCTTCTTGTATGAAGTTGCTCGCAGCCTCCCCAATCGCCTTCGCCTATCATATTCACGAGATACCAAATGTAAATCATTTGAATGTACAGTTGAAATTCACAGTCTAACACAAAATAAAAATAAAAAATCGGCACACGGCTAAAGTTCTAACCTTGTCTTTGTGATTATTGCCCCATTCCACAGCAAACTTGAGAGAAGTGCACTTGCTGTTGTCCCTAATAGGCCAAAAGTGCCGCAATGGCTCCATGCCTCTCGTGAAGAATTCGTAATAACGAGACCTTACATACAAGGTCATAGAATCACATGCCATGATGTATTTTTCACTTACAGACCATGCCCGTCCTTCTATATAAATTTTGTACCTGTAAAAACCAAATCTCTATGCATAAACAAAGAAAACAAAGGAAATTTTAAATTTGGAAAATGTAATTTCAAAAACAAAAACAAAAAAAAGTGCAAAAACTACCTGTGCTTGCACTGGTTTTCTAGGTTTGAATCCTTGAACCCTTGTTTAGATTCTTGCATCCAATTCTGGAAATAGAAGATCAAAACATTGCACAAATGAATACATAAAAAGATTGCATTTTATACATAATAATAGTTAGAGAAGTTGAGGCACCTGAACATATAGGCGTGTGCTCACATTGCATTTGAGAAGGTCCTGTCTGGTTGAAGCCACATTTGGGTTACCTTTCCAGTAAGCATAGGGCACCCTGTCTTCCCACTTTGTTCTTTTATTGCCTTCTTTTATGCCTTGCAATAGACTTCTCCATGGTTTTATATTGATCTCAGCCCTACCAAAATTAAAATTAGCCCATCTACAAATTTCATTAATAAAATTAATTTATCCTCTCAAATCTCCTTTTTTTTTGGGGGGGGTCACCCAATTCAAAAGCTTGGGCCAAAGTTGGTGGAGGTGAAAGGGGTTTTGGGCCACACATCTCATACAAACTTTAATTTAATTATGAAGATGAAATACCTTTATTACCCTTTTAACATAAAATTGGAATTCCTAATAAACACCAAATCAAAACCCACGTCCTCCAGTCTCTCATCTTCATCTTCAACCCCAATTTTCAGTTTTTGTTCTTCCACCTCAGTTTTGACGATGAAATCCTAAGCTCTGTTCTCATGAATATTCCCCTTCGAGAGAGAGAGAGAGAGAGAGAGAGAGAGAGAGAGAGAGAGAGAGGTGACGAGAAAGCAAGAGATCGACAGTTGGAGAGAGATTGAGCAACGAAAATGGCGACAGTTCAAATGCAGAGAGTTGCAGTATCGCCACAGGAGCAAGCCAATATTGACGCAACGAAGAAGAACAGAATTCAGGTTTCCAATACCAAGAAACCACTCTTCTTTTACATCAATCTTGCAAAGGTATGTTTCTGTAGGAAAATAATTTATTTATTTATTTATTTGACAAATGAAGGAAAGAAAAGGAAAAGGAAAAGGAAAATTAAATTTAGTATGCTGTGAGTATGCTGGATCTGTGAAAAATTTGGAGGATTTGCAACATGAGCAAATGGACAATGACTTGGCGGATTCATGGGATGAAATGGCTCAGTATAAAATTCTATTCGATTTGCGATCTTCAAGTTTGAGGTATTTGATTTTTTTAATGTGAATTCATATTCGATTTTATTGTAGTCTGATTTGGGTGATTTCATGTTCGATTAATTAAGTTGCTGGTTAAGTTTTCATAATTTTTGCAGTTTTGGAGTTTAAATTTGAAATGTAGATTCAATTCTTCTTTATTTTATATGTTTATTTTTGTTATTGCCGATTTGGAGATAAGCTATTGGATTTTCCGATTTCATTCTAATTTGTATTTAGATATTCGTTTGAGTTTTAAATTGTGATTTTAATTTCTTTTTGTTTATAATTTGGATTGATTTCAGATTCGGTTTGGTTGTGGATTTGCTTTTGTGTTTTGGTTTGAGCTGTGGTTACAAATTTGTGATATTTGATTCAGTTATCATATTAATTGAGGTATATTTTTTGAATTGAATCTGAGTATATTCGTGTTTTTTCTGTTTATGCACTATTGGTTTTTGAGTCGACTATAATTTGCTGTTAGGTAGCAGTGTTATTACCTTATATTGGAACTTTACAGACATGCATTAGAAATAGGATTTTATATGAAACTAGCAGTGTTATTACCTTATACTGGAACTTTACAAGGGGTAGACATGCATTAGAAATAGGATTTCAAAGGAATCTAGCAGTGTTATTACCCTATACTGGAACTTTACAATGGTAGACATGCATTAGAAATAGGATTTAGATTTTAGAGGAATCTAGCAGTGTTATTACCCTATACTGGAACTTTACAAGGATTAGACATCCATTAGAAATAGGATTTCAAAGGAATCTAGCAGTGTTATTACCCTATACTGGAACTTTACAAGGGGTAGACATGTATTAGAAATAGGATTTCAGAAGAATCTAGTAGTGTTATTACCCTATACTGGAACTTTACAATGGTAGACATGCATTAGAAATAGGATTTCATAGGAAACAAGCAATGTTATTACCTTATATTGGAACTTTACAGACATGCATTAGAAATAGGATTTTATATGAAACTAGCAGTGTTATTACCTTATACTGGAACTTTACAAGGGGTAGACATGCATTAGAAATAGGATTTCAAAGGAATCTAGCAGTGTTATTACCCTATACTGGAACTTTACGGTGGTAGACATGCATTCAAAATAGGATTTCAGAGGAAACAAGCAGTGTTATTACCCCATACTGGAACTTTACAGTCATTAATCAACATGAAAGTAAACTAGCAGTGTTAAGAATGAGTATATGACTAAATATCTCTTTCTTTTTTGAGTTGCTGGAAATCGACTATTTTATAGTCCTATGCAATCAGTTCAATAATGAAAATCCAATATAGTTTCAAGATTTTGTCCTAGATTCGAATCTAAAATACTGTTATTACCCTATACTAGAACTTTACAGCAATTAATCAACATTATAGTAAAGGTTTGGTTTTTAAATGTCTTACTTTTGAAGCCTTTTCTTGTTGAAATTGTTCTCTGAAATTTAGTCTTTGTTTTGTAGGTGGAGGTCAGTATGTGGTGTTGGTTTTTGAAAGTAGATCAAGCTTCGTGCTCGGTTTGCATAAATGATGAAGATGATGAAATGAACAGACGTTTTGCAGAGATTGTTTAATGAAGATGCATGCTTGTAGTTACGGTTTTCAAGACACTTTTGTGTTGTAATAAAATATTTCGGCTTTTTTATAAAATTGGGTTTGGGCTTGTTTTGGGTGTTTTTTGAGTTTTTTTTTTCTATTAGGCATCAGTGGTAGTCTTGTAATTTATAGGAACTTTAACACTAATTTCTTATATAGTAAATGGATTTTGAGTGTGTTTCTAAAGTGCATTCTATGTGGGGTTTTTTTATAATTTCAGCCTCTATTTTGGGTATATTAGTGAAGCTCCCAATTAATTTATCCTCTCAAATCTCTCTTCTTCTTTTTTTGTTTTTTTGTGTTTTTGTTTGTTCACCTAATTCAAATGTTTGGGCCAAAGTTGGTGGAGATGAAAAGGGTTTTGGGCCACACATCTCATACAAACAATCTATGGGCCAGAGTTTTTAATTCTTTACTTTTCAAATGGGCTAGAAATTAGGAATTGATAGAACCCGAATTCATATGTAACACATGGTTCCTAAAGTAAACAAAGTATTTCACATGCAAACATAACATGTATAAGACATAAGCAAATATTTACCAGCCCCAAAAAGACCAATCTGGGAACACAATATCCAAGCTCCCCTCGTCCGCGCAATAATGAAACGATGGCGGTGGGCTAGCATTTGGGCCCCGAAAGTCCTTTGATGGGATGACAGGCATATCACCACAGTTAAACATGAGCTCCACGTCAGGCAATCTACCGGGGTACACCCTTAGAAGCTGCAAAATGCCCCATAATGTAAACATATCCCTAGTTTGAAAGGATTGTCTATACTTCTCTATGTAAGCCTTGCCGTCCACGATCAAGAGCCTAAAATCCGCAGTCATGCGGGCCCGCTCTATCATGTCCCTCGTGATTCCCGTCTCTTTCCATGGCCGTAGATCTTCGTGGATCCATCGGAAGTATGATGGGCATGTGAGGTTGGATGGACGGCTAGGATTTGCGGGGTCGTGTGTGGTAGGGTAGGTTCTTGGACAACCTTGTGTCACATTAATTCCTTCGGTACACTGCAGTGGGAATTCAGGTCTCTTGGGTGTGCTTGTGTTTGTGGTTGTTGTGATTGATTTCTTAGAATAAGCACCTGAAAACATAAACTAAGAGAGAAAAACATGAATTGTATGTTAGAACTTTATATATAGAGGTGGAACTAAGAGACCTAAGAGAAAATAATCTGCCCACCAATCTAATAGAGGTGGAACTAAGAGACCTAAGTTTCACCTTAGTTAGAGAGATCGTGTGAACCAGGTGACTGGTAAACCCCATTCAAATATTTCTAGTTTTTGAAATCTTGGTCCTATTAGTTTTACTCTAAAAAAACAAAAAAACACACACAAAAACACTATGACAGAAGATAGTATGCCTATGTTAGAACTTTATATATAGCTAGCACGATTGGAGTTCATGGAACTTACCACATCGATCCAGCCTGCAGATACCAACGCAGCAACAAGGAAGATCAACAACAATAACAAGAAGATTAGAGTAATTGTTACAGTTCTCTTCTTCAAAGGCCTCCAACTTGTTCCTGTCACATCCAAGAAATCAAACAAATGCTTCATGTTTATGCTTCAAAGCTCTCTTCCAAAGTTCCAAGAGACCTTGAGATGAGATAGCCCTGCTGTATACTCAGTCTCTGTGGACTTCAACCACACGTCCTTGACTTGAATGTATTTAAAATACAATATTTTAAAAAGAGGTCAAAATATGGTTACCATGAAAAATTATTCGTTTAACTTTGACTTAGTGAGTCTCTGGCATGTGGAACCCACATCAGTTTTGTGAGTTATTGCTAACGGAATTTGTCTAGATAGGCGGGGACCGAGGATGAAATTAGGCTCACGGCCACAAAAATTGCCGTGTGGGACGGATTATGACTTACGAATTCAATGTGAGTAAAGCAATTGGCAAGCAGGCCACAGATATTACGTTAATGCAGTGTGCAAAATTCGTTGCTTCCTTTGACAAAGAACCCATAATTGGAGACAAAGAACCAATCTTCTGGGTAAGCATTATTAGTCCCAGAATTCAGAATAATATATCATTAATCAATATTAACAACCCAATGCAGGCAAAGAAAAATACATAGTAACACTTCCACTTGAAGTTTTCCCATCAACAGCATGGTGGCACAAAAAGTTTGCTCACGAAAAAAACCGTGCAGCTGCTGCGAATCTCCTACCAGCTTGTTTCATGAAGAGATGATATGCAGAAAGGTGCATTTTAAAGCATTGACAGCCGACAGGTGAAACAATGCACGTTCCCTTGTTAGACCAACACAGACCCTTCCCTTTATATTATATCCTTGCAGCTGGCGGAACTGTCCTTGTCGAACCACATTGATATACTGAAAAGCTCTAAATAAATTTCACAATGAAGATCATAATATGCACAGACCAGCGTATTCACTCTGAGTATCCACTGGCCTCACTATCTCATGGCAGATAATGCCTCAAAATGTGGGAGTTTCAGAGGCCAATTACTAAAGGGAGGTCTTTTTTTTAGAATTTTTGAGGTTAAATTGAATTCCTGCGCCATTTCCTGCATAAGGTAACCAGGTGAAATTAGCTAATAGATGAAAAGTCATATCCAGTTGACACCTTGCTACTAGTTAATTAAGAACCAGTAGTTACATAACTAATCCATAAATTTTGTACCCGCAGATATTGAGCAGAAGCTAAATCTACAGATATCTGATACTACACAAGACACTGCTTGTACTAAAAAAAGCTTTCATTTACACATAAACCACAATCCCTACACAAAGTTTTGAAGTACTTTTTGTCAATCAAAGCACAAAGACCTCTTATACTTCCCAAATACAAACCACTTGCACAACTTAGCGGGTGCATAATTTACTGTCTTGAACTCCAGTCATCACATTGTAAAGCAAATCCCAAAATTACCTTATTAGCTAGATAAATAGAATTTGACTAAAAGTTGTCCGCAAAATCAGTATCTATAATATTGACTACCTTGATTTCTCGATACGAAATCTGATTGACTGGGATTTTGGCAGGGCATTCATGTCTTAGGGACAAGAAAATCTGCAACAGCCGCTTTCTGTCAAACAATAAAAACAAGCGATCAACCACAAGAACCATTTCAGAGCCGTGAGGCGATTGTCCAACAGTAATGGAAGAAAGGTAAACAGGTTGCAGAAAGAATGAAAGCGGAGCTCCTGAAATAAGAATATGTATGACCTCTCCAACTAACTTATAACTAGTAATGCCCATGTAACCAAGTACGGCCAATATAATCATGAAGATTAGTCAAACTGGCTCAGTCTAGGTACACCATCAAACATTCAAGGATGCCCGACCAAAAGAAGCCAGGTGTATATTTAGACCACAGTTTCCATATCCAGGATTGACTGAATGAAGCCCTATCTTGGGTACATGATAGATCAAATGACAAACCTTGAACTCCAACTACATTCCAACGAGCCATCTTGTCTGAGCAACTAGCTGATAAAGTTGTATCACCATGAAAATAAGGTAATTAGTTGAACCGAGCCAATTAGTTGTGAAGCATCACCTGAAAATAAGGTAACATACAGATACTACATGACTCAAATCTCATGTCAAGGGTAATGATTCTTTTCTCAAAAAGAAGCTGCCAACATTCACTAGAAAAATATTCAACCCACCACATTATGATGAAAAATGGAAACATAAATTTTTAGCAAAGATAGAACAAAGAAGAGGACAAGTACAAAATCCCATTACCATTAATACTTGGCAGAGCCTCTTCATTTATTGAAACATTAAGCTCGTCCAATGATGAACCCCATTCTGTTGGTGAGATGTTTTTTGGGGGAGACAACAATGAACTTGGAGATGCAACCCCACCTGCAAGAAAGGAGAATAAGTATAATCGCAGTATTGGTTTGTCCTGACATAGATATAAAGATCCTAAGTAGGGAAAAAACCAAAGAGAAAAGGACTCTCTTTTCTTGGTGGTAGTTGTGATATGTACAAGTGTAATTGCAAACCCTCCCTCAGTTTGTATTTTCCTTGGCCATCACCATTAGGGTCCAATTCAAAAAGCAAGTTTTTGGCATCACCATTTTGGAATTGTGTGCTTCCATTGCTATCACTTTGCTTACTATAAACTTGAGTAAGACACTGAATCTGTGCATAGAAGAACCTAGTGCCAGAGAAGCCAAGTATACCAATAAGCACCATACACGAAAAATATAAGGTAAAGATATAGTTAACAAATGCAAATTCCCCCCAAAAAAATTGGTACTTTTCAACTAAGCACGCATAATTTGGATGCATTTCATGCCACGTGAAGCATAGCACTCGTAGATTAGCAACTTTTTATTTATTAAAATCTTGTATATATTTGCTAATGAAATGAATATATAACAACAAATATGACAGCTAGCCCTATTAAATTTAATTTTGATTATTAAATTACTTTGATGCCTAAGTGTTTTGGGTTTTTTTTTTTTGAGGTTTTGGGGTTAGGCTTGTTTTAAGAAATTAATGGTAATTTTGTAATTTATAGGAAGTTCGAAGCCTCTTTGTTATGTTGTAAGCGGATTTTGGATGTATTTCTAAAGTTCATTTTATGTATGATTTTTTTTTTTAATTTGAGCCCTTATATTGAGTATAATAGTAAATTTTCCGGAAAAAAAAAGGAAGAAAATGTAATTTATTAAAAATATATGCAAGCTCCAAGGACAGATTCAAGTGGAGTTGCAGGCAACAGACCATAGTGAGATGAGCTTGGATGTCATAAAAGGGCGGGCACTCTAATTGATCCATCACTTTTTCACATGATCTATCTTCAATTTTATTTTTTGTTAGTTGTGTGAGCTATTTTATGTTAATTACTTTATTTTTCAGATCAGATGTGTATTCAAATTTAAAACATTGATTGGTACATTCCTTTGCTATATATTGGTGTGTGTCAGATTTTATTGTGTTATTTTTTATCACTTATCTAGGACATATTAAATTACAAGTCACGGCCTACGGAATACATGGAAAAAGCTTCTATTGCTTTTTATCAATACTTTGCCAATACTCATTTTCCCAAGCTTCCACTTGCCCAGTTGAGTTAGCCTTTCTCTCAAGTAAATCGTGGAGAGCCAGAGGATCATATGGAGGAGGCAGAGTGCATGGGAGCTCATCACTTGGAGACTCCACCATAGACTCCACCATGAACTTCTTCCATGTACCTGTTGCAGGGCATGCCATTGTTTCTGAGCATAGTTCCACTGCATTGGGAGGTATAGTTGGTTTGAATTTCAAGAGCTTTGCATATTCATTTAGCACATGAAACATGTAATCATACACATAGTCCATCTTTAGATCTTCTTGTATGAAGTTGCTCGCAGCCTCCCCAATCGCCTTCGCCTACCATAGTCACGAGATACCAAATGTTAATCATTTGAATGTGCAGTTGAAATTCACAGTCTAACAACATAACATGTCACACAGTCACACTATTCAACACAAAATAATAATAAAAAATCGGCATACAACTAAAGTTCTAACCTTGTCTTTGTGATTATTGCCCCATTCCACAGCAAACTTGAGAGAAGTGCACTTGCTGTTGTGCCTAATAGGCCAAAAGTGCTGCAATGGCTCCATGCCCCTTATGAAGAAATCGTAATAGCGAGCCCTTACGTACAAGGTCATAGAATCACATGCCAGGATGTATTTTTCACTTACAGACCATGCATTTCCTTCTATATAAATTTTGTACCTGCAAAAACCCAAATCTCTATACATAAAGAAAACAAAGGAAATTTTAAATTTGTAAAATGTAATTTCAAAAAACAAAACAATACAAAAAAATTGCAAAAATTACCTGTGCTTGCACTGGTTTTCTAGGTTTGAATCCTTGAACCCATGTTTAGATTCTTGCTTCCAATTCTGGAAATAGAAGATCAAAACATTGCACAAATGAATACATAAAAAGATTGCATTTTACACATAATAATAGTTAGAGAAGTTGATGCACCTGAATATATAGGTGTGTGTTCCAGTCATTTTTGTCCGAGACATTGCATTTGAGAAGGTCCCTTCTGGTTGGAGCCACAGTTGGGTTACCTTTCCAGTAAGCATAGGGCACCCTGTCTTCCCACTTTGTTCTTTTATTGCCTTCTTTTATGCTTTGCAATAGACTTCTCCATGGTTTTATCTTGATCTCAGCCCTACCAAAATTAAAATTAGCCCATCTACAAATTTCATTAATAAAATTAATTTATCCTCTCAAATCTCCTTTTTTTTTGGGGGGGGTCACCCAATTCAAAAGCTTGGGCCAAAGTTGGTGGAGGTGAAAGGGGTTTTGGGCCACACATCTCATACAAACAATTTATGGGCCAGAGTTTTTAATTCTTTGCTTTTCAAATGGGCTAGAAATTAGGAATTGATAAAATCCAAATTCATATCTAACACATGGTTCCTAAAGTAAACAAAAAAACAAAAACAAAGGGCATTTCACATGCAAACATAACATGTATAAGACAGAAGCAAATATTTACCAGCCCCAAAAAGACCAATCTGGGAACACAATAGCCAAGCTCCCCTCGTCCGCGCAGTATTGAAACAACGGTGGCGGGTCAGCATTCGGGCCCCGAAAGTCCTTTGATAGGATGACGGGCAGATCACCACAATTAAACATGAGCTCCAAGTCAGGCAATCTACCGGGGTACACCCTTAGAAGCTGCAAAATGCCCCATAACGTAAACATATCCCTAGTTTGATAGGATTTTCTATACTTCTCTATGTAAGCCTTGCCATCCACGATGAAGAGCCTAAAATCCGCAGTCATGTGGGCCCGCTCTATCATGTCCCTCGTGATTCCCGTCTCTTTCCACGGCCGTAGATCTTCGTGGATCCATCGGAAGTATGATGGGCATGTGAGATTGGATGGATTGCTAGGATTTGTGGGGTCGTGTGTGGTAGGGTAGGTTCTTGGACAACCTTGTGTCACATTAATTCCTTCGGTACACTGCAGTGGGAATTCAGGTCTCTTGGGTGTGCTTGTGTTTGTGGTTGTTATGATTGATTTCTTAGAATAAGCACCTGAAAATATAAACTAAGAGAGAAAAATATGAATTGTATACGTTAGTATCAAAGGAGAGATTTTGATACAAAGAACTTTTCTATGCAATGCAAAGCTATATATGACTTGTACTTCAATAAATTTTCTTTGTATTTCTTTTCTGATAACTAATATTTCGTTTCTTAGTAATATCAGTTTAGTATACACATTCTTAGGCAATTCTCACTTAATTAGTTGCTCACATACCCCATACTTATCACGAAAATTTGACTCTCGCTCTCCCTCATATCTAATGCAGGCACGCTCTCCTTCAACCTAAAAGAAAACAATCTGACCACTGATCTAATAGAGGTGGAACTAAGAGACATAAGTTTCACCTTAGTTAGAGAGATCGTGAACTAGGTGACTGGTAAACCCCATTCAAATATTTCTAGTTTTTGAAATCTTGGTCCTATTAGTTTTACTCTAAAAAAACAAAACAAAACACACACACAAAAACACTATGACAGAAGATAAAATGCCAATGTTATAACTTTATATATAGCTAGCACGATTGGAGTTCATGGAACTTACAGCATCGAGCCAGCCTGCAGGTACTAACGCAGCAACAAAGAAGATCAACAACAATAACAAGAAGATTAGAGTAGTTGTTGCAGTTCTCAATGGCCTCCAACTTGTTCCTACAAAATGCCTATGCAATCCAGTCCCATCCAAGAAATCACACAAATGCTTCGCGTTGTTCCTTTTCATGTTTATGCTTCAAAGTTCTCTTCCAAGAGACCTTGAGATGAGATAGCCCTGCTGTCCTGTCCTGTAATGCTTTCTATGCTGTATACTCCGTCTATGTGGACTTCAACCAAACGTCCTTGGCTTGCTATATATAAGGGTCCTTGGCCTCCTAAAATTTCGACAAAAACAAAATCCCTGAAGTATTTTATCCCTACCCAAAAAAAAAAAGTTAATAAAGTTGACTAAATTTTGTTTTCTCAATTTTAGGGATTATATTTATGTTCCCATGATACAACTACAACAAAAACGCTATTTACAAAAAATATATACACTATTTTTTAAAAAGGTACATCATTTATTTTAAAAATAGGGATAATATTTTTAGCAATCATAATAGGTACCTAATATACAATGTATCTACATGTAAATAATGTACCTAATATACAATGTATCTACATGTAAATAATGTACCTTAATAAGTAATTTTTCGTTCATAAAAAATTAAATAATTAGGTACATTATATTGTCAAATCCATTAGTATGTTTAATAATAAAAAGTAAGTAGAAAATTTTCTTAAATAGCTAACATTGTTTTAATTAAAGAAAATAACATCCTGGTTCAATTCCAACTCCGGCCTCGACTCAAGCTCAGATCCCAATCCAGATTCCTACTAAACCTGTATCCTATGCATCTTCCGCTGCACAGATTATGACTTTCAGACTAACGACCCTGACACATGGACGAGATTGCACATATTGTGGTGATCCAAGACACACTTATGAGACTTGTTTTAAATTGCATGGCTACCCCGAATGGTGGGCTACTCTCAAAGATCGAACACAACATGATATGACGTAATGGTACTGGTTATGGATTCCATACTTCGGATAAAAGTGATTCTACGAGCTGGATAATTGATTTCGATGCAACTGATCATATGACGTTTGATCCTGGTGATTTTCTAAATACTATACAACCTCGATGAACATGTATTGCTAACGCCAATGGAATTACTTATCCTATTATAATTGTAATTTATTTACTTTAATTCCTGATTTCCTACTATAAATAGAAATATGAATTTATTATTTACTTCCCCATTAAAGTTCCGTTGTATTATAAATATGAACTCCTACAAGGAGAATAATACACAGAAAATTTTCACAAACAAATATTCTCATATTAAGTTTCATATTTTAGCATGCGATATAATTAATCAAATGGGTCTTTGAAGTTTTTTTTTGGACAAAGAAAATGGGTCTTTGAAGTTAGGCATTCGTGGAATGTGTGGTTTCTTACTTTGAAAGGCTTTAGTTCACGTTTTTTTCCACCATTTGCTCCATTTTCGCATGAATGATTCCATTATGCAAGAAGAGAGAAAGTCTCCAAGTCTAGGTCTTGACCTAACAAGGAGCCAAATTGGCCAAGTGTTGCGTTTTTTGGACGAAACTGGTATAACATTCAATCAGAGCACTCAAGGCAGTGCCAAATTACAACAGAGCAAGAGTCCAGTGAACAGGGGACTACAGCAGAAACTGATAAAAGTAAAAACATCAAACAGAACACGACTACAAAGTGGAATGTAAAAATAAAAAATAAGTTGCTTCAGAAATCCCATAAAAGCGTCCAGAACATTCCAGCATTGCTCAAATGGAAAATTTAATTCTTTTGACAAACTCAATCGTGTTCATATACTTGAATGTATTTAAAATAAAATATTTTTAAAAAAGGTCAAAATATGGTTACCATGACAAATTACTCGATTTACTCAAACATGTTGCAATGACTGCAATTTGAACTTTAAGTAGAAAACTAATTAATCACATCGTTTACTTTGTTGCAGAGCTCATAAGTCATAGGGATGTTGAGAGAGAGAGAGAGAGAGAGAGAGAGAGAGAGAGAGAGAAGGATGATCAATTGAACACTGTAAAAGAGGGGACACGGTTAAAGTGAATGTTGCAGAGAAATAAGGTTGAGTTGTAACGTGCATGCTTAAAGGGGAAGGGAAAACGATGTGATGAGCTGATGAGTTGCCTGCAATCTTTGCTTCCTCCATTATTTATTTATTTTGGTAGGATAGTACTGTAACAGTTGCTTGCTTCCATTCAAATAATCGATCACCATGTTTAAGCAATATGCTTGCTTTCTAACGTGAATTAAAGAAGATGAAGGAAAAACGTGAATTGGGTTTTACCCTTTTTAATGTGACTCTTTTACGATTAAGCTTTCATGATTCACAATCTGACTAAGGGCTCGTTGTATAGTGATGAAAGTAATTATATGGAAAAGCACATGGGAAGTGCTCTCATAATTAGACTTTTGTGAGTTATTGCTAATAGGTAGGGACTGAGGATGAAATTAGACTCATGGCCACAATAATTGCCTTGTGGGACGGATTATTTGCTTAATAGTAAGTGAACGGATTGAGTTCTTATGACTTATGAAGTTCAGAGTAAGTAGTACGTAACCTGCAAAATGATCCATTGAATTCAATGTGAGTAAAGCATGTGGCAAGCAGGCCACAGATATTACGTTAATGCAGTGTGCATAATTCCTTGCTTCCTTTGCTTGCCCCACTAGGAACTCATAATTGGAGACTAAGAACCAATCTTCTTTCTGGGTGCGCATTATTAGTCCCAGAATTCAGAATAATATATCATTAATCAATATTAACAACCAAATGCAGGCAAAGAAAAATATATTTTCTGATTCAAGCTCTCCATAATATTCGTATCATTCGTCTAACTTCTCTTGTATGTTCAAATAACCATCCTAGTAACACTTCCACTTGAAGTTTTCCTATCAACAACATGAGTTAAAACCAGAGGATCAAACCTTCATCCACGGTGGCACTAAAAGTTTACTCACGAAAAAGTCGTGCAGCTGCTGCTAGTAAGCAAACTGAACCGAGACATTAACTGTGAATCTCCTACCAGCTTGTTTCATGAAGAGATGATATGCTGAAAGGTGCATTTTAAAGCATTGACAGCCGACAGGTGAAACAATGCACTTTCCCTTGTTATACCAACACAGACCCTTCCCTTTATATTATATTCTTGAAGCTGGCAGAACTGTCCTTGTCGAACCACACACATATACTGAAAAGCTCTAAATAATTAGTGCAAAGTATTACTCGATTACCATATTAATTTCACAATGAGGTTCATAATATGCACAGACCTGAGTATTCACTCTGAGTATCCACTGGCCTCACTATATCATGGCAGAGAATGCCTCAAAATGTGGGAGTTTCAGAGGCCAATTAATAAAGGGAGGTCTTCTTTTTAGAATTTTTGAGGTTAAATTGAATTCCTGCGCCATTTCCTGCATAAGGTAACCAGGTGAAATTAGCTAATAGATGAAAAGTCATATCCAGTTGACACCTTGCCACTAGTTAATTAAGAACCAGTAGTTACATAACTAATCCAAAAAATTTGTACCACCAGATAATGAACAGAAGCTAAATCTACAGATATCTGATACTACACAAGACACTAAAAAAATGCAACGAAAAAGCTTTCATTTACACATAAACCACAATCCCAACACATAGTTTGAAGTACTTTTTGTCTATCAAAGCACAAAGAGATACTTCCAAAATATAAACCACTTGCACAACTTTGCGGGTGCATAATTTACTGTCATGAACTCTAGTCATCACATTGTAAACCAAAATCCCAAAATTACCTTATTAGCTAGATATATAGAATTTGACCAAAAGTCGTCTACAAAATCAGTATCCATAATATTGACTACCTTGATTTCTCGATACGAAATCTGATTGACTGGGATATTGGCAGGGCATTCATGTCTTAGGGACAAGAAAATCTGCAACAGCCGCTTTCTGTCAAACAATAAAAACAATATGACAAAATTGTAATAAAATGCATTTCTAAATAAAAGTTGGAGCATACTTATCACCCTACTTGCATAAAGATGACTCAGTAGACGGATAATGTGCTCCTTTGGCAGCGGTGCCTTGCTTTCTTCCAGTGGTTCCAAGAATGACTTCATGCAAACCAGCCTTATTCCAACATATTGAATACCTGTGAATCAAAGCATTTAGGAATCAGTAGTAACCAAACAATACACGCTCACTTTATATGTAGAACTGTCAAAATTAAATAACAAGTACCCGCATGTTAAAGTGGTCAAAGCAGTCTTGGAATGCTGAAATTCCTTTGGTGGCATTGGAGCTGCCCATATTAGTGGCTGCCAGTAGCATTAGTATATGCATTTATAATAACCATCTCTAATGCAATATCACAGAGTACACACTTCACAGACCTGGTTCACTTGAAAGGGACTCATTAGCTCATTTGACAATGGTAGAATGCGATCATGCAGCGCTTGTTTCAAGCGATCAACCACAAGAACCATTTCAGAGCCGTGAGGCGATTGTCCAACAGTAATGGAAGAGAGGTAAACAGGTTGCAGAAAGAATGAAAGCAGAGCTCCTGAAATAAGAATATGTATGACCTCACCAACTAACTTATAACTAGTAATGCCCATGTAACCAAGTACGGCCAATATAATCATGAAGATTAGTCAAACTGGCTCAGTCTAGGTACACCATCAAACATTCAAGGATGCCCGACCAAAAGAGGCCAGGTATGCATTTAGACCAGAGTTTCTATATCCAGGATTGACTGAATGAAGCCCTATCTTGGGTACATGATAGAGCAAATGACAAACCTTGAACTCCAACTACATTCCAACGAGCCATCTTGTCAGAGCAACTAACTGATAAAGTTGTATCACCACGACCAGGCTTTCTTTGAACCGAGCCAATTAGTTGTGAAGCATCACCTGAAAATAAGGTAACATACAGATGCTACATGACTCAAATCTCATGTCAAGAGTAATGATTCTTTTCTCAAAAAGAAGCTGCCAACATTCACTAGAAAAATATTCAACCCACCGCATTATGGTGACAAATGGAAACATAAATTTTTAGCAAATATAGAACAAAGATGAGGACAAGTACAAAATCCCATTACCATTAGTATTTGGCAGAGCCTCTTCATTTATTGAAACATTAAGCTCGTCCAAAGATGAACCCCGTTCTGTTGGTGAGATGTTTTTTGGGGGAGACAACAGTGAACTCGGAGATGCAACCCCACCTGCAAGAAAGGAGAATAAGTATAATCGCAGTATTGGTTTGTCTTTGTCCTGATATAGATATAAAGATCTCTAAGTAGGGCAAAAACCGAAGAAAAAAGGACTCTTTTCTTGGATATGAACAATAACTGACATGGTAGTTGTGATATGTACAAGTGTAATTGCAAACCCTTCCTCAGTTTGTATTTTCCTTGGCCATCACCATTAGGGTCCAATTCAAAAAGCAAGTTTTTGGCATCACCATTTTGGAATTGTGTGCTTCCATTGCTATCACTTTGCTTACTATAAACTTGAGTAAGACACTGAATCTGTGCATAGAAGAACCTAGTGCCAGAGAAGCCAAGTATACCAATAAGCACCATAAACTAAAAATATAAGGTAGAGATATATTTAACAAATGCAAATTCCCCCCAAAAAAATTGGTACTTTTCAACTAAGCACACATAATTTGGATGCATTTCATGCCACGTGAAGCATAGCACTCGTAAATTAGCAACTTTTTATTAGAAACTAAAAACCTCAGTAAAGATCTTCGGGCTATAATCTCGGCGTGGGAATCATTGACGACATCACCGTTGGAGCTCAAGAGTGAACGCCCAAGACATTTGGTCCCAGTTCCCAACGCGACAACTTCCAATTCTGAACAATTGAAAGTGTTAAGAACACTGTTTGCTTTCCAGGAAAGTGCAGGAAAATCAAATTTAGAAAAGAAAAAACGAAGGAAAGTAGGACCTTGAGAAGGAGAGGAAACGAGGAAAGCGGCCAAGACGGTGACTTCGCGACCCTGAGGCTTGCCTTTCTTGGGAAGAGAGTTGTAGAGTGAGAACACCTTGTCCGAGACCTTCTCGCCCCACTCTATTTTTGAAGAGGAAGAAAGAGCAGAAGACGGCGTTTCGAAGCAGGACGGCGACGCCATGCTGCAGAAAGTGGTGGCAGGGGTGAGTGAGAGAAGAGAGGCTCCCGCCTCCGATTTCTGGTCATTCGGACTACGTGGTTGGATTTGGATTGGGTAGACTTCCAATTCATTTTTTGGGTCTAGAATTGGGCCAATCTTGTGCACCCAAGAAGAAAAGAAAGGAGCCCAATTTCACCATTTTCCATTACAAGACTGACCCAAACATAGAGATACCAACTACAAAATGATTGAAGGGAGATTTGAACTTAAGAGCTAATTTAATATTAAGAAATTATCACTAGATCAAGAGAATTGGTATTGAATATAGGCTCACTTGTAAGTGCTTATGTGAGAAGCACTTTTACTCATTAAAGTTAGCTGAAAGCACTTTCAGCCATTCTAAAAGCACTTTCAATTTCTTGTTAAGTGAAATATCATTTATCTTCCTACTTGAGAACTTCTCGATCCCCTCTTTAGTATGAATAATGCTATTTGGATATCAATAATGCTATTTGGGCCACTTTTACTTACTCATGTCGGATCCACCTATATTAGAGAGGTGGTCAATAAGGTGGTCAGTAAAAGTAGTACAAATAGCAGCACTCTTATGTAGGATCATCTCTTAGTCCAGATTCATAGCGGTTTTGTTCTTGTTTGTAGGGTTGGCAATCCTCTTGCAATTCAGAATTGTCTCATGAAGAAGTAGGCAAGTAGCAATAAGCTACTATCTACCAAAAATCAATAAAGGTTGGAAAGTGGAGAATACTATTTGCTTGTGCTTTTAACCTCTAATGGTGTTTCATTATCATATAAGATCTTGATTCTAGGTTAAATAGATTGATTGGTACTGGTAAAGGCTAATTTAAATTTAAATTAATAGAAAGTGAATTATGAGGTGTAAAGTCTCTCATACCTTGGGAATAAAGGCAACATGAAATGAAAGTCCCCCACATTATTATTGTTGATATCCATTAAATTAATAATAAAAACTGAGACTAAGAGACACCAGTTGAGATATTTAGCAAGATACCAACACAAAGCAATGCCCATTGCCCAACATCTCAATCTTTTACCGGGAATTTTGTCCCACAATTAAAAAAGAAAAATAGAAAAAATAAAGAGATATTTAGTTATATACCCATTTTTAGCACTAGTGACATAGATAAACCCGACACCATTTAATTTCTATAAATAAACCCAAAAAATAACTACCGACTCTATTGAATTTAATTTTAATTATTAAATTATTTTAATGCCCTATTAAGTGTTGTGAGTTTTTGAAAGAGGTTTTAGGGTTGAGCTTGTTTTAATAAATGAATGACAATTTTGTAATTTATAGGAAGTTCGAAGCCTCTTTATTATATTGTAAATAGGTTTTGGGTGTGTTTCTAAAGTACATTTTATATATGATTTTTTTTATAATTTGAGCTCTTATATTGGGTATAATAGTAATTCTCTAAAAATAAAGGAAGAAAATGTAATTTATTAAGATATATAAATATATATATATGAAAGGCCAATCAGTGTTCCAGTTGGTGAAGAGCAACATACTCCACATCACAGCGCTACTGCATGAACGGTGCAAACGGCCGAGATTGGCGGGGCCAAACCCACGTGGTGCGCCAAACTGCCAGCCAACATGCTTCAATCTGAGATGTCAAATGCTCAATTGTTTGCTTCTCCAGAGCGCGTGGAACTGTAGAGATTGTCCCTTTCTTTTTTTCCTTTTTTTTTTTTTTTTTTTGTCTTTTATCCCAAAAATACATAAGCTTATTACATATCTTTTTTATCCGAATAATACTAATTTACTTGTACAAGGGAAGTTTTTATCCCGTCTTTGTCGTTTGTACTCTTTTTTCATATTAAAAAAACTAATAAAAGAAAATGTGTAAAATGGGATGCACAGTAATAAATTTAATTTCGGATCAAATAATAACTCAGAGCCAATGTGAAATTAACTTGGCATAAGTTATTTTCTTTGCTTTAATTGATTAAGGACTTTAAATCTTCTTGATTTTGAGAGCTTAGACTACATAAAATGCTATTTTCGCAATACTTTACTTTTTTCTTTTATGGTTTCACTTAAATGACTTTTTGATTTCAAAAAAGTGAATTTATCGACTAATCTTTGGTCTAGTGATATTTGTTTGTAATTAATTGAAGGCAGGTTCGACTCACATAAATAACGATGACGATATATAATCATGATGAATTTGATACCTAACTATGATCTAATATTGACCCATTATAAATAAATGTTGTAAATATCAAATTGTTTGTAAAACAAAAACCAAAAAACTGAAGAAAGATTCCAAACCTTGGTTCAAATATTGTGAAAAAGAAAAAAGAAACTTTAACCAAATATTCAAAAAGGAAGGAAAAATAACCAAGGTGGTTGGTGTGAGTGGTTCGGCACTCTCATTCCTTAAGAGAGGTCAAAGGTTCGATCCTTGCTCTCGTACGGAGTCACCACTTTGGCCAACACTTTACCCCTTACGGGCCGACCCGGTGTGAGTGGGGATTAGTCTGGATTGTGGTTAAGGCTTAAAGGTGCCACCCATAATTGGGGCCCATCCAGGACCACCTCATGATTCAGACCAAAAAAAAAAGGAAGGAAAAAAAAGGAAAACAAAAAACAAAAACAAAAGAGAAAAAGGGAAAAGGAAACAGAATATGGGTGATTCCCGCGTTATCTACGCGCGTAGGAATGACCCACCGATTGTTTCACAATAAAGTAGCGCGCATCCGGTCAAAAAAAATCTTAAATACGGTCCCAGCAAACGGTGTCGTTTCATCTCACCACGCTTGCCGACATAATCATATCTCAACCGCGCCTACGTGGCATCACTGTAGCAGTTTAAGTACCTGTCGACATGGGATTAAAGCATTTACACGAAAAGCACACGCACCGTCAGATCCAACGGGCACAAAACATCAACGGCTAACATGGATTGTGGGCCCCGCACTCCCTCCCTCACGTATAAATGCGAAGAGACCGAAGGACGTGAAGTGTTGTCAGTGGAGAAGTCGAGAGTTATCCGTTGAGATTTTTGAGAAAAATGGGAGCAACAATGGAAGAGGAGCTGAAGAAGGCAGAACCCCAGCCTGCTTTACTGGCTGAGCCTCCTCTGGCCTCGGCCCCAAACGACGTCGCTGAGGAGAAGGCCGTGGTGCCTCCGCCGCGCGAGGTAGATGTGAAGGGAGATGATGACACAAAAGCCCTTGCCGTAGTTGAGAGTAAGTGAAAGCCTCCGCCTCTCTCTCTCACACAGTGAAACAGTAAAAAGATGAAAACTTTACAGAGTGTTTGTGGTAAATTTGGTTTCTTTTTGGTCTGTTTTACAGAGGCTCCAGAAGCAGTGGTGAAAAAGCCTTCTGGAGGATCAATTGATAGAGGTGATGAATTTAATTTAATTTAATTGATTTTAGTGAAATGATGAGAATGATAATTCCAAATTAGGTAGTAGTGGATGAGCAGAGAGATAACCCATGTGGTTGATTGTGGTGGTGTTGATGTTTTTTTTTTGTTTTTGTGTTTTTCAGATATAGCTCTTTCACATCTTGAAAAAGAAAAGAGTTTGTCTTTTATCAGGGCATGGGAAGAAAGTGAAAAGGCTAAGGCAGAGAACAAGTAAGGCTTGATTTTCGCTCAAATCAATTGTCCTTCGATTATTTTTATTGGGTTTTTTTCTTAAGAGTTCAAGATTTTGAGTCAATACTGCTCTGAAATAAGTGCTGTATTTTTGTGATGTGTTTTATATGTTGTAGTTTTATGAGTGATCCCCTTTTTCCAATGGCTTATGAAATGAAACTGTCAAACACAGGGCCCAAAAGAAACTTTCTGATATTACTGCATGGGAAAACAGCAGGAAAGCATCTGTGGAAGCCAAACTGAGAAGCATGGAGGTGACTTCCTTTTTCTTTTTGCTTCTGTTTTGATTGGAATTTGGAACCAACCTCAATTTAAGTTTGGAACTAATGGGATGAAGTTAACCAAATTAGTTAGAAACTTGGAATTCATTTCAGTTTAAATTCAAATTTAACACTTTCATTGGTTATCAGGAAAAATTGGAGAAGAAAAAAGCACAATATGCAGAAAAAATGAAAAACCAAGTTGCTCTTCTTCACAAACAAGCAGATGAGAAGAGAGCTTTGGCTATAGCCAATCGCGGGGAAGACTTCCTTAAGGCAGATGAGACCGCTGCTAAATACCGTGCAACTGGAAGTATTCCAAAGAAGTTCCTTGGCTGCTTTTGAAGTACTGCTTTGAGCCTGGTTTGAAAACAATCAATGTAACTTCTGGTTTTTTCATGTGTATATCTTTCCTGGTTTGTTCCTTTTTTTTTCTTCTTGGTCGGGTCCTGTTTGGTCTATGTTTTGTGTGAAAACTGACTAGACAATCAGCAAATGTTCGTCATCGTCCATAGTTGTATAGGAAGTGTATTTGATTTGTGAGGTCCAAGTTTGTTATTTGTTATATACATTTGAGATCAGATGTTGCTGTCCTTGAGGACTGAAGCTTTTTCTAGTAATGGGATAACTCTACACTATTCATCTTTCGTTCCTGCTTCATGTTGTGTTGAACTTTGTATTAGCTCTCTGCAATGCTGATGGTTTAACCATTTGTCATGCGCAGTAAATTAGTAGGAACTGTTATTGACACTTCATAGCGGTCATCTTGCACTCCTCCAAGTGCAATTTTCTCATCTCGTTTTATACGAGAGGAGTGCAGAATGACATTTTTGGAACGCCAACAGCAGTTCCCAGTCACTGAATGAGTTTTCAAATTTCAATATACTGTTGGGAAGCTATCTTCTGTGACTTGTAATCACCTGGAACTTGACAGTGGATTATAGCCTCTTGGGGTTTGCTCAGCTTTCAAAACAAAGCTTTCGAGAAACCGGAAAAAAAAAAACGACCAAACACTAAGCAGATAACAGGCAATAAGAGTCTCTCTGAACTGAACCAGAGCATGGCAATGACCAAGCCTGCTTTCTCTGTGTAGTAACAGCATCTGGCATTTCCTATGCAGGGGCACCAGTATATAGAATTTTAAATAGTTTTAAGCCGACCCCAAGCTGTGTTCTTGGAGCATCAAAATTATATATGTCATTAAGACAATAAGAGAGATATAACTAGTTAATTCATATCTGAAAGGATTGAGGAATATGTATCTACTATATATACTGAATCCTGAACAAACTAAGATTTGTTAACGAAAGCCTACTTAGTGGTAACAGCACTGCCACTTTTAAGCTAAAATGTATCAAAACAGGACCCTTACTCTTAGCTCTCTAACTAAATTGACAGCTTATAGAAGACAACCACCAAAAATTCGAGCAGCACCTCAAAAAAAAGGAAGCTCCCAAGCCTGCTTCAGAGGGGGCAAATGAAAGAATTGGGTGTCCACCTAGCAGGAGTTGTTGCATAGTCATCCACATTGTCTTCAAGGAAGCTCATGTCATTGTTAATGGGGAAATTCAGCAGCAGCTGCAATGCAGTGTCCGACGAGTCCTCTAAATCATTGGAACATGAGGAGTCCGACCCGGCCATCACATCTTCGGTGTTCAACTGCCAGGGCTTGTACTCCACATCTTCAGTGTTGGATTGGAAGATCTTGTATCCCATATCTTCAGTGTTGGTCTGGCAACTCTTGTATTCCAAATCTTCAGTGTTGGTCTGGCAAATCTTGTATCCCACATCTTCAGTGTTGGTCTGGCAAATATTGTGTCCCACATATTCAGTGTTGGTCTGGCAAATCTTGTCTTCCATATCCTCGTTTTGATCTCCGGCCATGGTTGATGACCCTGTTAAGGTGTTGCCAACTTCTGTTGTCACAGCTGACACTGATCCGCATTTCGTCGAAGAAGATGCCTGAGACATGGGGCTAGGGCATGCAGAGTTATCCACGGTAGTGAGGTTTCTGAATGCTTCTCCAACTTCAGAGTTCCATAAGCGTAGAAAATAGTCAGGCTCAGATTTCTCCGGAGGTTGGCTGAAGAGTGATGACTCCCTGGAAAGCCGAGCCTCAGCTTCAAGCCTAGCACTCTCCCATTGTGCCATGTGACGGGTGGCCAGGGAAGCAGGTGCTGTGCTAGTTAAACTGTTAGAGTCAACGGGCTTATGTGTTTGTGGATCAATCCCCATGAGGAGGAGACGTTTCTTCAGGTGTGTGTTCCATAAATTCTTGATCTCATTGTCAGTTCTTCCAGGCAACTGAGAAGCTATAGCAGCCCACCTGAAAATTGTTTTTGATACAAGCAAGAGAGTGAGAAACTGGACAAATTTTCTGCAACAGATTCAACTTAACACAATAGATTCAATCATATCATACCATGATATTCAGAATATGCTATAACTTTTCAAGTGTTTTTCATCACATAATATGAATGACAAGTTGGTCTTCACGTGGTCTTAATGTCTTGTGTTGTTCAATACACAGTTAATGAAAGGTAAATCAGTTCTAAATTTCCAAAAGATGGGCGTATCACAGTTTGAAAGCAAGCCAAGAATCGCAAATGTACTACCTGTTTCCGAGTATGCCATGAAGCTGTATGATAAGCTTCTCTTCATCCTTAGTGAAGGGGCCTCTTTTAATGTCTGGCCTAAGATAATTTGTCCACCTGAGCCGACAACTCTTCCCACAGCGTAGAAGACCTATAAAAATAGAAAACCACACTCAATATATGAACAAGACCAAGAATCTGAAACGAAAAATGAACAAATCAAGCACAATATTAATTATTTGGATTTACCCCCAACTTCCTATAATGTTTTAAACATAATATCCAAGAAAACTCAGAGAAAAGGGGAGCCGGACATGAAAAGAGTCAAAAGCAATTATACTTGTACAGAACCATACAAAATGTTAACAAAGGAGGCAGCAAAACAACCTTTTTAAAGAAATATCCTTCTGGTTTTGTCTGGTTTTCTTCAACACAAAATAAAGGTTGAGGAAATGATTAACCTAGACTAATGGTGAAAATTTCTCAAAGTAACTTTGGTTCAGCTCATTCATCCACACACACCAAAATGAAAAAGAAAGAGGAAAAGAATAAGGGGAAAGTAATAAACAGATTTGTTTGCAAACTGTAAATAAAAACACATACAGAAGGGGAAGGTAACTATAATTTAACTCATTCACCAAAGAAAAAGAGGAAAAGAACAAGGGGAAAGTAGTAAACAGATTTGATTTTACAAACAACTTATCAAAAAGAACATAATTTCAAGTAAGCCAAGAGGTTAATGGGGCCTCTGGGACCAGAGACTAAAACCCATCACTCCTAGTCCCTCAAAGTTCAAGCACAACCATCTGACTCAGTAGACATGAAGAAAAATTTGACACTGTTAAGTTAGCACTTTAAGATGTCCTTTACATCGCATGAAAGAGCTTTTCTTTGACATCAGAAAACAACAAACCAAAGCAGCAACTTTTGGGTGTCAAAAGGCAATATGGACCAAACTAAGACAGAAACCAAGTAACATACAGAAAGAAGGAAAGTAAGAAACACCCAAAGAAACCTGCAAGCTTGGGGAGAGAGCGCCAGCTGCCATGGCCATTATTCTTGTTGATATAGTTCAGAAGAGCCTCATCCTCTTCAGCTGACCATGGCCCTCTCTTCAATCCTCTGTTGTCACAACAAGGAGACCTTCCCATATCTCACACACCCTTTTAATTCCCAACACAGAGACAGAGAGAGACACACAACCACAACCACCACCTCCACCAATCCACCACTACCAAACACCAACAATAAAGATGCCAAGAAACCCAATTTAAAGCTCCACACACCCTTATCTTTATGAGAAGAAAAGAGGATTTGCAAATTAATGCTGGAGTTTGATCTCTATCTGGATGAATAAGGAGAAGGTGATATATATTTAATATATAGAATTATGTATGTGGGTTGTCTGAAAGGAAAGGAGGTACAAGTTCAGCTAGTTTCAAGCTGTCTTTTGCAATAAATGTTTGGGGTTTGGTGGTACGCAGAGAGAGAGAAAATTGTATCATCATTGAAAAGTTAAAGACTTGGCCCCAACAATGAAAGAGAGTTAATGGTGGGATTTCTTTTTTTGAGGTTTTCATTTACACTCAACTGGAAAGAGAGAGGCCAAATGCATGGAAGATGACAGTGACAACATTAATGGTGGATTCTCACACAGAAAGACAGAGTAATGTTTATTTAGAGAGAGAGAGAGAGAGAGAGAGAGAGAGAGAGAGAGAAGAACTTGGAAGGCATTAATGGCAAAGACAATGACCTGCAGAGTACGGACACGCCATGACATGAAATGACCATGCATTTCCATTTTCCTCTATGTTTCTTAATTTATAAGAAATTTTAGAAACTACCCATTAAATCTTGCTAAGCCAATTAGACCATGGTTGGTCACTCGGAAAGTGGAAGTGGAAAACTAATCAAGATCTTTTCTTCTCCATTTTTCATGCTTGCATGCAGAGCAACCCTCGTTCAATTGGTTCGAAACTTGAGGAAGTGGAGGAGAAGAAGAAATTAACTGTGGGTTTGCTCAGTTTTCTCTGTTGGCTCATTGCATGGATTTGAAAATATTTATTAGATTACAGGCTTTATTATAAATGCTCTGCCTCAATAGAAATAATGCTTTAACCAAATTTTATATATTTCATTGAATATTTTCACAATTATCATAATAATCAAGAGTTCATTTAATTTTTTTTCCCTGCAAGTGAATAATTTCTATGTTTGCTGTTTGAAATTGGATTGAGGAAGTTGAGGAGAGTCAGAGAGAAGTCAAAATTGGAAAAAGTGGGGCAAAGTCCAATTCAATCCCAATCTAATAAATGTGGTCAATTGAACTTTCAAAGTCAAGTTTCTGCAACCCCATGTTACTCTACTCCTTTGGTTCATGCTCATCTTTGCCATTTCCTTTTTCCTCTCTTTTATATATATATATATAAAAAAATTTCATGTGGACAGAAAAGTACAGAGAGTCATGTGACATGTTCATATATGACACATACAAAAAAACATCTACATGGTGCAGTGAAAATCTCCTATACCAACTTGTTCATCTGTGTCAGGATTAAATTACTGGTCTTGCAAACATTTATACCATGACATATAAATAGCTGAGACCTGATGAGATGGATGAAAATTTAAAAAAGATATTAGTCACCAAAGCCCAAAAGACCTCAACCAAAATGAATCTATTAAAAATTTGTAAAGGGTAAGAAAAATAAGTGGACAGGAAGCCAACAATTTTGCTTGTTTATCTAATATTTCTCTTTATTAGGCGGTGGAGCATTAGGTTTTGTAGGTTCCTAGGGATGAGTCTGTCTGTGAGAACTGTGGCTGGCTGGGGTCAAGCAATAAATATATATGGCAGAGAGACGAGAGACATGGAAGGAAGGTTGAGGTGGCCTGTTTTTCTTGTGTTGTCGGCTGCTGCTGCATGCTTGTACTATTCACAAATTAATTGAACGCATAAGGACTTTGTTTACCAAGGGCTCCTAAAGTATAAATCACTTGATCAAGTTTTTACAATAATTGATGAACATGTGATGCCAATTTGACACTTGAAAATGGATGGTAAGTATGTGTTTTGATTTGTGGTTTTTTGCACTTGAAAAGGAGTAAGAGGTTTGTTTAATTTTCATTTTGAGATGTCCGGCTCTTTACATGCGAGTTCAATTTTTTTTTTTTTGGTAGTGTAAATTAGATTTGATAATCACCTCGTCAAGCAAGCTTTTGCATTATGATTTCAAAAAGATAAAGTCTTGTTGGGGTTTTGGTCAACACATTTCCATTTCCAGCACTTTCAAATAGTAGTACTGAAATGTTGATTCCATAATTTCGATGTAGACGTTTAGTAAAATGACCACTAAGCATGAAAACCTATTAATTCCAGCTAGAATCATCATTGCGTTGCTTTCAAAATCAGCATTACTTTTTCCGTGGAGAGGGATGTTCAAACCACAATGCTTGCTGCCCAAGCAAGCAAAACCACTTCTATTTCCAACCAAGGTGCCCTCCCAAATGGTAGCTGCAGATTCTGTCAGGTAGCTACCCCTTGACCAAGAGCATAACAAAAACCAAGGAAATAGAAAGTTGTTTCTTTACTATTAAAAAATACAGAGTTGTTTCTGCAATCTGCATAGATTAAAAGGTTGTTTCTTGTCTAACAAGTAAGAAAAACAACTTATCTAAAAAGCACCAAAGGGTGTCGCAGACCCCAGTAGTACAAGGAAAAAAAATAGCTTTGAAAAAGTGATTCTAGTAGTAGATATGTACAAAAATCTAAAAAGTGGAACAAAAAATCAAAGGAAAAAAACAGTATGAGATCTCCTTTGGAAGCATTCAATAAAAGCTAGCTTTGAAAAAAGTGATTTTTACCACCAACGGGTATGTTTGTTTGTAATATTTGGGTATAGTTATTCTACAAGGTAAATTATGCCTTAGCTAGCAAGATCCTAGCATGTATCACAACTACACTTTGTTGGCAAGGTTAGATAATGATAGTTCATATAGACTCGAATTACAAACTTTGGCATGACATCAACTAATACTAATTTTGAAGTAGGTAGAATGGATTGATTGGAAAAAAGAAAATTAAGTCAAGACAATATGATTAAGTAAGTCAAGACAATATGATTAAGTTTTATGGGCCCTATTTATGGGCTTACATATGAAAAGCCCTAAAAGAAAACAACAAAAAGTGACAATAGGAGCACTGTTTTCTGATAATTACCCAATTTCATAAGAATCATGAACCCAATAAAAAATAACTTATTTGAATTGGTACAAATGTTAAATTTCCCACATTAATTTCTCAATAAAAATTGAAACAAAAAAAGAGGATACAACTAATATCCATGATGATTTTGTTTAAACACAACCCACCAAAAAATCAGCTTACAGTCTCAAAGTAATCTGTGAACAAGTTATACATATATTTGAACAAGATGGGATAGCTTGCTCCCAAAAGAAAGAAAGAAAAAGAAAAAGTTCAAGTAGCTCTGAAAGGCAAGGACGATGTGGCAAAATGCATCTTAAGATTCCTCTGGTGGTGGTTGGTCAGTCTGGTCCTCGGATTCTGGTTCTGTTGTTGGTTCTGGTTGTGGCTCAGGAGGGCCTTCTGCAGCAGCTGGCTCAGTAGCTAGTGCATTTTTCCTGTTTGCAGCAGCCTGGAGGACATGGCTATAATTTCCTTTCTCCAGGAAGAGCTGAGAAAAATGGTGCTTGCAGTAAAGAACTCCATCCAGAGCAGCATAGGATGAATGTGTAAGAGGGCAGCCCCCATGAGCACACCTGAAGCATGACTTGTGGTAACTTTCTCCCTCCAATGTCACCTGTTTAAATTAGAGCATCAGAGAAAATGAAAAATAATTAAATTTCTCAATCTATAAACCTCGCTAGTTTGTGTTTGCTTGCGGAAGAAGAAACTAAAATTTCCTTTGGATTACCTTCTCCAGTGGATAGACTGTCTTTGAGCAAGTTGCACACTTGTCTAGGGTTCCAGAGAACATGGAGGAGAGTTTGCTGGGGGCCCTATTCTGTAGAAAGTATCACAGTTCATATTAATACCTCTGCAATTTTAAGATCAATATATATACACATGTATATGTTTGGTCAAAATCCAATGGTTGACATTCATCCTAGGAAGCAAAATACTTTGTCTGGATTTAAACTAAGTTTGAATGCCAACCATTGGATTTGAAAATCTAATGGTTGGTGACCATGGTCAATGGACAATATGCTTTTTTCTTGGCATAGGATATAGATGTATGTGACAATGAAAATACAGACCAGTTGTTCATTTTGCTTCTCAGCAGACTTTGCTGCAACAAAATTCATAAAAAAACAACTAATGTTAGCAAACAGAGGATTATCTGTTAATGATGCATATTAGCTAAAAAAACTAAAAGAAGTAAAGATAAGGGAAAATTCTCACGTTGGAAATTCTTGCTGAAATTCCCAGATTCTTTGAAAAGCTGCTCAAAATGAGGTTTGCAGTAGAGGACTCCATCCATGGAGGAATAGGTGCTCATCTGTCAAAAATATATTTTTCTTAATCATTTTGCATATTTGGATGATATTCAACCAAAGGTTTATGATCTTTCAAATGAGTCAAGACTTGGTTATAAGTATCAAAAAATTAACTTTGCAAATGTCCATGTCTCAGTGCCATTAAATGCCTTGTAAACTCGTTCTACTCAACACGTGGATAATTGTGAACCGTTGACGTAAGTTTTACAAATCAATCAATGGTTGACAATTGTTCACGCCTAAGCCGAAGCAAAACTTTAAAAAAATACATACATACGTGTGTTGCAAAATTAAAACACAGGTAAAATGTGACGAGAGAGAAATATATGTACCGAGAGAAATCCTTTGCAGTGGCTGCATTTGAAGCAGGATTTATGATAAGGTAGTCCTTCAAGGGACAACATATCGACCACATAAACAGTCTTATCACAAGCCTTGCATTTATCCAGAGTTCCTGTAAATGCCATTGTTTTCTTTTTTCAAAGAGATCTAAAACCCCAAAATATTGTTGAAAATGGTTTCAACTCAGGTGCCAGAGGGATCAGAGAGAAGTTGATCACGGGAAGAAGCACCGTGCTTGCTACTGGCACCTCAGACAAATCCAAATGGGATTGAGCAAAGTCTCTGATTTGTCTAAACAAAACTTAATTTATATCAGATTATAATGGATTTTGAAATGCTAGTAAATAGAAGACAAGTGAATGGAGTAATTTATGCCCCTAATTGTGGAATTTATCCGACTGGATTGGAGTAAAACAAGGCTGGTGCTCTGACCTTTTCAAGAGAAAATAAGAAATTTATATTTGAGATGACAAAATGAGAGCCAACTATTTTGCTATTTGGTTGTTGGTAGTTATGTTTGTTAAAAATAGTATGCTTTTAATTGTCCAATGAGATGTGTGAATCACTCCAAACTGTTGAAATTGCAAATTTGCAAGGGCCAACCATCTGATTAGTAATGGCAAAAGATAGTGTTCAAGCCAATAGGTTATTTTATCTGGAGCCAGTGAATCCTTGCTATTTTTACTTCTCAAAGCCCAAAAAAAAAAATCATTCCATTGAAAGGTACGGAAAGGTATACAGATTGGAGTGCTATAAATATTATGGCTCGTGGGTTGATGCTAGATTTGCTTGTTTCTTCAGCAAAATCAAACTGACCAAACATAACTTTATTTTCATTTATCTGAAGTTCTGAACCAAACTATATCTTACAAATCATCATAACCAGGAATTTTGAGGATAAAATTATTTCACATTGAACTATACAAATTGAAGAAAAAAAGTTTGGCTATGTATATGCATGTTTAAAGAAAGGCAAATTGGGTATACCGGTATGAAAAAAGAAAAAAGTTTTATTGCAAAACTCACCCCAGTAGAGCAAATCATGCTATAAGAGTATTTGAACGACCCAACCATGGAGGCAATACAACTTGCTGGCATAGTATGAGATCTGAGATGGTCTTTCCGTGCCGGTCAATCCTTCTAGAGCAGTTCACACCGCCATCAAGAATGTCCCGAACCACAACGTTTAACGATCGGATTCCCTTAACTTCATAAATTTCCACTTTTACATTTTCATTGACCCATTTGTCTCTTTCATTGATAGCATCCATGTCCGGGAACGAAGAAGAATTTAGAAGGGCTGAGACTACTTTCTTTACCCACTGGGGTGTTATGATTGACTTTAACCTTACTATATCTGGAGGAAAATGTGGGATGATCGAAAAATTCAAGTCATTTCCTTTATCTCCAGCTCGGACATGTCCTACATCATAGAGTGGAATCTTGTGGCCAGATGGAGCAGGAGAGATTGCACTTCCAATAAATGGACTATCCGAATTTGTAGAAGAATGGACTTCATCTGCTTGTGTAATTGACAATGCAGACTCATGCGGAAGACAGATATTTGATGTTAACGCTGTGGTGTGCTTTACTGCAGTCCGCCAGAGTACATGTTCACGCTTGACCTGAAAGACCAAACAAATAAGTTTTTCTTCAGAATTTCTTAGCTTCTGCCACATTGTTATGTGTAACAAAAATCTGTCACCAGTTTGATAAAAAAAACTAATCTTATTAGTCGAAACTGCTAGAAGTTTGATTGGACCGGATTTGGAAGTCAACATCATGGGGTGCAATAAGAAGAAAAAATCAACAAGAAGAAAAGGGGAGCGGGGTAAAAACCCAATGAATATGCTACTTATGGTCAAAGTTTCAAGTTCAGCAAATAAGTTATTAGACCAAAAACCAAAAGGATTTATAACTGAAGAGGGAAGGAGAGAGCAAGTAAATACCAGATATTTTTCAAGGATGATCTCTTTCTTGTGTCCGGTGCTGCATTGAGTAACACAGAGAAACAGACAATTTAAAAGGCTGTCAATTAGTTAGTCCTACATCTACAAGGGTTTCAATTAGTTTCTATGATCTGCAACATCTGCTAACCCAAGGAATATTGAACAGTAGTTCAGTTTTCAGCAAAGGTCTCACTCATAGTTTATATAAACAGGGTCTCAGTGGGATTTGTTAAGCCACAAGCTGCTCATTTGGGAGGCAAAACTGACGCAAAAGCTGATAGGAGATTTACCTGATACCACCACCACCAGCTGGTCCATTTGTATATAAAGCAGTAAACTCTCTAACAAAATGGACTGCGTGTTCCTTCAGCTTGAATAACCCATCCATGCGTAGCCTAATATCGCTAACCGTCCGAGATGAAGCACTGTCACTAAGATTGGTTGCCTTCAGGCTATCAAGCCCAATTATATAAGAAACTACATGGCTGCTAACTCCAGGAATTACTTCTTCCATCCATGATCTAACCTAATATAATATGGAAACAAGAAATAGCTAAACTGATTGGAGTTTTTCAAGTAAAGCACAACCAATATAAAGGATGTCATTCAAAAGTCAAAACCAACTACCCAGTGATACATACAATGAACAGGAATAACACAGTACAAAGGTTTTAAGTTTATTTACCAGAAATTCAGCAGCTTCAGCACGTTTAACACATTCGTATCCTCCATAGGATATTTCTCCCCATCCTTTCCAACCGCAGTCCTGAAAACTAGGAAAATGGAGCGTTAGCCAAACAAGAAACCAGCCAATGACAGTATTAAAGTTCTCACATATAGAAAAAATTAACTAAATATTCGAAATTAAAACAAAATAGAGGAAGAGCTATCAATAACACATGGCAAGACTTACTTAAATTAGTGGCGGATAAGCACTATGTCATAAAAAGTGTTATGTTGGCTCTTGTAGCATTATATGAGGGAACAAAAACCCATAACAGATTTCTTACTGAAGAGCAAAGTACTTTTCCCTAAGGCGTGCAGCTAAGGACAATAAGGTTACATGGCCTAGATCACAAAGCCCGATAAAAGTGATATATTTTGTAAAATTAAGTTATTCAAAAAGGAACCATAAGAATGTTACCTTCGGTACCAACCGCAGGAGTTTATCAGGCACTGATACCGCAGATGGTTTTGCTCCAGCACAGAGAACCTTACAACTTGACATGGGGTAGAATGAAACATCCCGAATATCAATTATCTGCAGTAGAGAACATGATATTTTTTTTCTTCTTAATTCTGCCCTATGTTCCATAATAAATGCTTGAATATATTCATATAACTTACCACATCAGGAGTGATATAAGCACCCGGATCCCCAACCTCATACAGAAGTTGTTCAGCACAAGTACTGAAATTTAAAACCCCACCAGTACCCTCTGCCTTCGCTACAAATACTTTTCCATCAGAGCTTATTTCAGCATAAGGGAGTGACAAATCCAAGAGTTGAGAAAAAGACATATTTCGAGACTTGTCTCCTACAAGAATGAAAAGAAATGCATAAAGCAGTCATATAAACATGAAAACAAATTGCAATTTTACCGTAATAACCCCTTAGTGTGCTAGGATGAAGTTTAACTTAAACAAAATCTCACCTGGGTGCACGAAGTAGCCTCCTGTTAGTTGACAACCACACTCTAGAAGATGGCCAGCCAAAGACCCTTGCGCTAGCTGCTCCAAACTATCCCAGTTCCAACCGAGTTCATAGATCTATTCATACCCCAGTATAACCATTCAGCATTCCTTCTCAAAGGAAATAACTACATAAAAAAGTTAACAAAGCAAGAGGACTAAATTTTTTATAGTGTCATTAGTATTAAAATATACTTTCAGATAAAGATATAATTACCCCCAAGATATTAGGTCCACAATCCACTTACACGATGTTGTTATAAATAGTTAACTTGCATGATTTTACCAGAGAAAGAAAAACACGATGTTGCTCAATCACTGCAGTCATCTTTGATGTAAGATACCCTTCTTTACCTAAATAACTTCACCAACATTTCAGTTTTTATAATAAGTGGTACATATTTTAAAATCTTAATTTCATCTTCGAATTGAATTTCAATCTTGATGACTAAAACCAAGGAGAATGAAAATCTAAGGAAGGGCAAAACTAACATGAGTGGAAATTGTAATGAAATATAGTCTTGGGAAATTGAAGCGACCCATCCATATGATCACAAAGGATCAATAGATAGTATGACATTTTTTTTTAATCAACAGATAATATGACCTTGTATAGGTCATCATGGATGGACCAGAAAAGATTACATAGGTTTTATGGTTGAACTAGTTTAGTCAAATTTATAACCAAGACTACATTTCTTCACAGAAAATTGATGGCGTGGATGATATAGTATATTAAAAAAAAAGAACAGTAAAATATTTGCTTAACACCAAAACAAGCTTGAGTTACCAACCAAACCAGTTACACAAGTTATTATTTTTTCAAGAATAACCAACACCACCTGGTGTCGTGTGGTGGTAAGTGGGAGTCTCTCCCTTGCTCAATGCTTGGGTTCAAGTCACCACATCCTCAAACAAGGCTATGGGATTTTTCCTAGGAAAATAACATTCCTAAATGATCAAATTTCATACCATAGGTGCTAAAAATAAGGCAGCATCTGCAACCCTTGAAGTAATTATTACGTTTGGTTGATACTTTTCCAGACATTCAACAATTGGCGCTGCCCCCAGATACGTGCTAATACCCTTCACAAATTAGAACAAAAATATGAGATCCACCTTTCACAAGTACAATATAAAGGAAAAGAGAAGAGGAATCAATCACTATGGATCAAACTCACTCTTCATCTGATTTGAAAAAATATAGAATATTGACACTAGTTTGCATACTCCCATGATTGCAGGAGTGAAATATTCATGGAAAGGAAGGGTGTCCTTAAATTGTGTGACTAACATGTGATGCCAACAGGAAACGAAAAACAAACATTGCATCTACAATCTTCATTTAACAATGAAAGTTAAATGCAAGAGTACCAGATTCTTACACCTTCCATGATATATGACTTCTCATGAGAGGATCCTGAACCTACATAGACAATGGAAACATTTTTGTTACAATAAATAGAAGCCTTTTTTTTATATAACGAGGAAAGATATGTACATAATACAGTCCTGTAATAAGCCTCTGTTCAAAGGACTGTGTTATGCTGGTCTGCAGGAAATCCCTATAGATATATAGTCTACTTAGTACCTTTTACTATCGATTACCTGTGTTTGTAACAGAAATCTCATGAGCCACAGCAACAGAAACACTAAGCCCCAAGCTGCTTGCTATTTCTATAACCTTTTCCTCTGCCCCATGCGGATCCACTTGCCAGAAAAACAAAATATAATATTTAGACAAAGAAAAAGCTTCAGTAAGTAGAGTTTTGCATTCAGAAAAGAACTAGAACTTTGCAGACTGCATTTGTTTAGTTTCTCACTTGCACCCATGTTGGTGATTATGCAAGTTCCTCTCTCAACAGCCAAAGGTAAGAGCAAGCGCATCCAATCAGAAACTGCACTCATGGAAAAGTACGAGAATGACCAACTGAAGTGTCCAATGTTAGCAAAATTGAGAATTTATTGGGAAACTTCTGATGAACTGTACGTCAAATTCTCATTCAAGAAGATAATCACAATATCAAAGAGGTATAAAAAGACTTAACACGCAACCAATGAATAAATGAAGAATTTCATAGCCATTCATGAATCATAGACACGTACTCCTTGAGTCATAACCATCGCCACCTGACACCATAACTTGATACCGTTCAGCAAGGGTGCGCTCTGCTAGGCATTCAAGCACAATATAGTTCAGCTCTTTGACCCTCTGTAGCAATTTAAGAGCTGCAAAGGGCCTGTCACCTCCAAACCCAGCTCCACAGCCAATGTAAACCTTGTCCCTTCTTTTTGGAGAATTCTCCCTCTGCAGTTCAAACTCAACATAATCAATTCTCCGAATCTTTGATAAACCAGATAAAACTTTGAAGTTAAAATTACTCAAGGCAGACAAAAGGAAATAATAATAATAACACTAACCAACTTGATCACACAATTACGAATCTCATCTACTTCCTGAATTTCCATTGTCATCTGCAGTGTGCTGGAATTAACAGTAAGAAATGGTTTGTATTAATGAAATATGTATTGATGCTATTGGGTTAGGTTGCATTTTCTTATGACTTTCTATTTAATACCAGTATGCATCCCAACAATCAAATAAAGAATATAAAAAAAGGACGATACGTTAACACACTAATCTGCAAATTATCTATATTCATATAAGCCTACAAGAACAAGAACAATAGTCTTTGAGTAACATTTCCAGGATAAACACCATCAAAGTCAGTATATGCTCCAAATTCATTTCTAAAACATTTCAAAATCTTTTCACCAGAATCCCCACAAATGAAGCCCAGATGCTTCCTCAGCATCAATTATCAATTATGATCAGAACTAAAAGAATATGAGACATAAAAAATAAAACTCAAGTCAGCAATTATTCAACTGGGAACTTCCAACTCAAAAACGAACTGGGTTCTGTGTGCTTAAGAAAGTGATTCAAAAACAGGAAATTCGGATAAGTAAAAGCATGAAATCAATTTTGTTCTTGCTAAAGAGAAAGATGGTCTCACGTCACCGGGAAAGCCCGAAGTTGAAGGCAGAGCAAACTTAGGCAAAGATTCGGTCTGCGTTATAAGTGGGAAGTATTTATATTGGCCTTTTTTTTTTTTTTGATGAAATATTGGCCTTTTTGCTTGCTTTGCTTGCACTGTAGTTTTAGCATATGTTTTTTATTCCAAGGGTCCTACTCCATTATGCTTGTGCACTGTCCGCTTCTATTACAAAAGTCTATATTGATACGCTTAATTCCAAATCTTTTTCTTTCTTCTAGTAATGGTTATGGATTAGCTGTAATGTCTTCATAAAATGTGTCGATGGCGACTCTTGAGCTGGCATAGCTAGAAATTTTTGGTGATTCTATTTGTTTTTATCATAGATTATAATAAAATATTATAATACGAGTATCAATTCAATACCAATTGGTAATTGATGGTGATGCACAAGATCTTTTAAGTACTAATTTTAAGTTTCTATATATTTTTTTTCTTTTGACAAAGTGGGAAAAGAGGTCGAATTCGGACACAAGAGTGCATGAACGTATATCATGTGACAAAAGAGCATATGTAATCAGGTTCAAATTATGCTAGAACGTCATACAAAATCAATTCGTGATGGTTAGAGAGATCTAAGATGTTTTAAGCACTAAACCTCATCTTTCGTTATTTAATGTGAGATATACTCTGAACACAACCCACATTCATAAATCACCATTGATCTTAACAAAATTCTTCTTAAGTTCTAAACACTTTACCAATGGTATAATTTCTAAACACTTTACCAATGGTACAATTTTGAAATTATATTAGAGCTAGACCAATGACAAAGGTTTTATTTTTTTTATGAATGTAAGTATTTCTTTCCAATTTCTTTATGGACTTCAACAATTTGAAGTGCATAATCATCATTTTAGAAATTAGAATCTGAATTTAAAAGTCGTGTTTTGGGTGAGACAAAAAACAAGAAAGAAAAAGAAAAGAAGTACAAAAGAAGGAACGAACGTGTAGCGATGCTGGTGCACCGTATGACTTTGGTGGGTCCTTGGTGTTGGTGGGAGTTATCCTCATTTGAGCTGAGACGATGTGTCTATCTTCTCCACGTAGCACAACACACCCTATCCAATCCATCTTCAAAGCACGTGCTTTTCACCTTCCAATTATTTTCTCACACCTCACTCTAGACCTGCGCTCTGTTCATTTTAATGCCACTCTCCCAGTTTACTGGGATTTGCAAACCAACCAAAAACTAGAAACACAAAAACACAGTAACATTGCGATTTTGCTAATTTTTTCTCTAGTTTTTGGTTTTCTGAAAACTGTTTGCTACAAAACTTTATCTCAACTGTTGGTCCTCAAGAGTCAAGACCATTTCAGTTCTTGTTGCCCACCTTGGAAGGCCATAAGCTCTGTTTCTGAGGTACCCATATGCTTATTTGTTGTTTGGTCTCTGAGAAAACTGAGCAAAAACAAAAAGGAAGCAAATTGGATGGTTTTTGTTTGATCATTTTGCTTTCTTTGTTTGAATCCTGATCATGAGAGTCTGGCAATTGTGTTTCAGGTCAAAATGCTCAAGCTTTTGAAGCAGAAGTTCATCGTGCATGGGAGTTAAGTAGTATTGGATATTGAGGTAAGATCATGAACTTGAATTCTTTAATGTAGATGTGTTTTTTTTTTATTGGTGATGTGATGAGGTTTTAATTAATCACTTTTATATCCGAAGTTTGAAACTTTTTAAAGCCGTTTATCTAGAAAAACTGGGTGATGAATGTTGATTGTTTATTGCTTTTTAAACTTGGCTGTATCTGATTGCTGTATTAAAACTTTAAAACTGCCTGCTTTGCCAATTGTATCTGGTTGTAGCTCTTTCATTAAGGAATATTTGGCTCTGGTGACGTTTCAAGGTCCACTTTTGCTTAAGTTTCTGAAGGGCATTCTTGATTATGAAACAACTGAGCAATACTTTAAAAGTGCTCTAAAAGATTTCTTAGTTATCTTCAACTTTTATGTGCTTAGTTTGTGACTGTCAGTGGTTCCCCTTCGTTTAGCTAATAACTTGTAATGATGGAGCCGGTTGCCCTTATTAGTAGTAATAAATCGGAAGGAGGTGAATGGATATCAAAATTTTCCGATTTGCTAGTTTGTTCAATTTTAATTTCAACAGAAACTTGCCTTTTCTGAGTGTTTCATTGGGGTTCTAAATGCAGAGTGCAGCATGTGAAAAATTTGCTGGTGATGTATTGATTTAGAAGGTAGTGACTTGTTCATTGAGATGACCACCCTATCACTAATTTCTGGAAATTGTGGAGGAAGAAACGGAGGTGAAGATCATGGATCAGAATTACTCCATCGATTTTCAGGAAAGGACCTTTTTGCTAGTGACTTACTTAGAAGTTCATTTAGAAGGGGAGATGGAATCTGGTCCAAGGATTTGGAAGGACATAGGATTAGAAACAGGAACAAGTTTCGTGTTACTGCGAAAATTAAAAAGGGGAAGCAGTATGATTACCCATGGCCTCATGATATTGATCCAAACATCAGCAGTGGTCACTTGAGTTACCTGTCTCATTTCAAGCCTCTGACTGAGAAGCCAAAGCAAGTTACCCTACCATTTGAGAAACCACTTGTTGATCTTGAGAAAAAGATTACTGAGGTCTGTTGCTTTCATCATAGCAGATTTTTAACTTGTGTTGCTTTTCTTAGATGTTGGTTTTCAATAAGTTTGCTGAGAATTTGATGCCGAGTATTCAAGAAAGGCGATGGAGTTGTCAAACATCATGAATAAATCCTAATATTCCAACATAGAAATGAAGGCATTCTCTAAGGCAAAGTTCATAAAATTACCTTAGGATGCATTTTAGAGAGAAGCAGATATGAGGCATTTACAAGGCACAAGCGTTCTACCATAAGCTCCTTTTCAAATATTTGGAACTTAGTCAATCCTTCTCTTGCAGATACGTAGAATGGCTGATGAAACTGGTCTGGATTTCAGTGATCAAATTGCTGCATTGGAGAACAAGTATCAACAGGTAGAATATACAAGTCTGGCAATTCCTATTTTATGCCAAAGTTGCTTTTATAGAGTCACTTCACATGAGTATGCGATCATTTTATGTTGGTTAAAAAAAAGGTTTATTTTGTGGGCAAAATATTTGCTTATTGAATTGACCCTAATGCTGCAGTCTAGTTTAAAAGCAATAGTTCTAAGTGAAATTGCATGAGCTGTTTATGAGTAATTAAAGTTTTACTTCTTTCTTGAGTTGTTTGAAATGATTTCAAACTCGGCATGAGTGTTTGATCTAGTATTTGGCTTTGCTGAGAAGATTTTGACTAATTTAACTATTTCAATAATTCATTGAATTTATTGATATTATTTTAATAATGTAATTCAACTTCTTCTCTGCTTTAAGTTTAGGCCCTGAAAGATTTATACAAGCATTTGACACCAATCCAACGGCTATCTATCGCTCGACATCCCAACAGACCAACAGTTCTTGATCATATTTTGAATATTACAGAGAAGGTAGCGAACTACATCATATTATGGCTTCTATTTGTATGACTATATGATAATTAATAATCTAGCTTCTTCTCTTCCAAACCCCACCCCCCCCCAAAAAAAATGTTATAGTGGGTGGAACTCCATGGAGACCGTGCTGGCTATGATGATCCAGCTATTGTGACTGGTATTGGGAGCATGGATGAAAAGTCCTACATGTTCATAGGTCATCAGAAAGGTAGGAACACGAAGGAAAACATTGCTCGCAACTTTGCAATGCCAACTCCACATGGGTACGTTTCAAGGATACTTTGATCAGGTTAATAGCAAGAAGGTGCATAACAGTCAAAGCATTTAGAATATATTGTGCACCCAGTGTTTGGTTGTTTACAAAAACATGCAATGTAACCCTGTTCACTTAGAGTTACTTTGCAAGCAGCTATCGGAAGGCTCTGCGAATGATGAAATATGCCGATCATCATGGATTTCCCATTATTACATTTGTTGACACTCCTGGGGCCTTTGCTGATCTAAAATCTGAGGAACTTGGTCAAGTGAGTCTGAAACTTTTCTACTTCATTTGAAATTTCCCATCATTAATTCACCTTTTCTTTTTCAAGGATCTTTTATTTACTTTGTTCACATGTTACCATAGAATAAACTTTTTCACTTTTGCTTTATGCAGGGGGAAGCAATAGCACATAATTTGAGGACTATGTTTGGTCTGAAAGTGCCCGTTGTAACAGTTGTAACCGGAGAAGGCGGTTCAGGTGGAGCTCTAGCCATTGCTTGTTCCAATAAACTGTTTATGCTGGAGAACTCTGCTTTCTATGTTGCAAGGTGATGGCATTTCTTTTCCTTCTCCGTGTCCACTTCACCAATATTATTATTAAAAAAAGTACAAATTTACCGAACATTAGAATGGAGCCTGTTTAATTCATCAAAGTGCTTCGAGTTTTGATCTTCTTCCCTTTAGAGACTTCATGCCATGATTTCTGTAATATATTTCTTGTGCCTTTGTTTGTTGGAGCAGTCCTGAAGCATGTGCTGCAATATTGTGGAAATCTTCCCAAGCAGCTCCTAAGGTATTATAAATTTTGATGGATGAGCCTATTTGGGATGTAGGCCATTTTTTAATCATAATGTAGTTTCAAAATTGTACAGGCAGCTGAAAAACTAAGGATAACAGCTCAAGAGCATTACCGACTGAAGATCGCTGATGGGGTCATTCCTGTAAGTGCTTTTCCCTTCTGATTCATGCGTCTTCTTAATAATATGACAATATTATGTGAAAATATATTTTTATAACCACAATGGTACTTGAAAAGAAATGTACCACTAACTTTTATCAGTTCAAATTTCGTAGGAAAGTTATGCAGTTGGAAACAAATGCTTACCTTAATTATAAGATCTCAAACTTGGGATTCTGAGACCTTGTTTAGTTGTAATATGTCAATACTGATTGGAGAAAAACTAAGAAGCCAGTATATGGGGTTATATCGTGTTATTATTGATGCTGTGGCTGTTGTTTACAGGAGCCTCTTGGTGGCGCACATGTTGATCCTGCTTGGACTTCCCAACAAATTAAGATCACAATTACACAGGCAATAAAGGTAAATTAAATTCACAATCTTCTCATAGAGAGAGCATAAAATAAAAAGAAAAAACCTCCCTCTAAATAGTTTTGTATTAATTAGTTTGGCTTTTTGACTATCCTTTCTGTTCGCTTTTTCGGATTCCCCAACAAACTTCTTTTGTAAATAATTTCCTGTGTCCAGACATGTCAGTACTTATGCTTAGAATTAGGCCTTGATTTTCTTCGAAATAGTGCAAAATCATCAAGTTGTTGAGCAATTTTTGAATAAAATTAGACATGGTTGCTGTTTGCATAAATTATTTTTTATAAATATGGTTATTTCACAAATAAGATATATACTCAAGTATAGATTACACACAAAATAGACATGATATGTCCTTGTATCATGTGTTGCACTTGCACATCCCATGCCTTTGTCAGACACCACACTACTATTTGTGTCCTCAAATCGTAGGTGGTTTCCCTTCATTTATCCCTTACATCTATACTAAATGTACCTAGGAATTGGAAAACATGAACACAGAAGAATTGCTTCAGCATCGGAGGCTTAAATTCCGGTCAATTGGAGGTTTTCAAGAAGGCATTCCAGTGGAACCTAAACGGAAACGCAACATGAAACCATCTGAAGTTAACATGCCAAAGGCTGCTGACATAGAGTTGGAGATTGAGAATTTGAAAAAGAAGATCCTGGAAGCAAAGGGACCATCTGATCCGATTACAACCCAAGCAATTGAGAAGCTCAAGAAAGATGTAGACAAGGAGATGACCAATGCATTTATCTCAATGGGATTGCAAGAGAAACTCGAATCAGTGAAGTTGGAATTATCAAAAGCCTCAAAAGACACATCAAGTCAGCCCCTTAATCGTAATTTGAAGGAGAAAGTTGATAAAATAATGCAGGAGTTTAACCATAATCTGTCGCAGCCAGGGGCGTACCTTGGCTTAAAGCAGAAGCTTGAAAAGCTAAACTTGGTTAGCAGGCTTACCGAGATAGAGGAAAGAAAACAGAAACTTAAAGCTGAGATTAATCAGAAAGTTCCAGCTGAGCTAAAAGAGAAGATGGAACTTTTGAAGAATGCCGAAGAAAAGATATCCAAAGGAGAACCAGTGGATAAGGAGTTGATGGAAGAAGTAGAGGCAGTTAAGAAAGAGCTTGTGGAGGTCCTAAAGTCAGCTAACTTGGAGGTTGTTGGAGTGACCAAGAAAAATGTGGTCGCTGCACCTTCAGAGTTGAAGGAGAAAATAGAAAAGGTGAACACAGAGATTTATGAGGAAATTGAGAGAGTAATAAATGAAGCTGGTATTAGTGGAAGAATAGAGGAGTTGAAGGCTGGTATAGCAAAAGGCTCAAGTTCAGAAGACATAGAAAAAGCAGAAGCAAAGATAAAGGAGGAGATTCTTGCCACTTTGGATGTAGAGGCACTAAAAGAAAAGGTCAAGAGTTTGACAGTGGAGTTGGACCTTCCTGAGGAAACTGTTGCAGAAGGTAATATTTGTGCTGAAAACGGCAAATTTCAGTGAGAGAGGGGGTGCTTTGTAAATTTGTAATACAGTTTCATGATCTTCGATATATGATATTAAATTTTGGTCAAAAGAAAAATGAACTCTGTCAAATTTTGTGATATTAAAAAAACACCTATTAACCAAAAATAATAATAAATATATACACACACACACAAATGCCCAAAGAAGCACATATATTACATATGAATTTCTTGAACAGTACCATTTTGGCAAACAATCCATTTTGGGAGGAGTGATTTTGCATCTGGGGATTTCAAATATTTAATTTTTATTTAATATTTCTAATTAATTTTAACTGTGGTGTCAAAATTAAATCTTTTCTTTTAAATAATTTCCTATGAACCCCTTATACTGCTACTAACCGCAATAAAGCATAACAATAATGGTGTATTGATATTAAATTAACCCAACATGTCACTTTTGGAAAATCTCACTTTCTCATAATTCCTTCCAATTAGCCTAAACTTATGACTTTTGCATATTGTTTATGTTTGTTGCATCTTGCATGATTGCAGTTGCAGATGTATAAATGATTAAATTTCCCCTCATGACAAGGAGAAAGCAAAACTTGTGCTACTGTCCTAAACTATTATTGTCCAATCTCCCCACATATTATAAAAAGAAGAAAGGGGATTGATATTGCTGAACATATTTCCATATTTTTTTAGAAGAAAAAAAAAAAAACACTCATAGTGGAAATATGACACAGCATGAGTAATCATTGGATTTCTTTATCATTCAACTTTTCCTTTTGGGTTGAAGTTCTGAAAAAAAATGTAACTTCTTTTATTTTGGGGCTTGCCCTTCATTGTAGCAACATCACATGCATATCACATTTTTAATGTACCGATTTTCAACAAAAAAATTTGCAGATTTTTATATTCACAAGTACCATTTGACTATTTTTGTACTGATCACGAAACTATTTTAATATGTAAGATCGATCCGACCCGATGCTTTGATTACACAAACAAACTTAATGAGATTGAATATTTAGGTGCAATATTCTCATCAGTGCACGATTTGTAATTTCCTACATAAATTCATATCGGTGGTAGTTGGCAGTTATGTGTCATGTGTAAGTCCTTTCGGCTTGAGATTATGGATGTGCCCTAACGCTGATGGTGAGAGTAGCTAACTTTCCCTTAAACTTTCTAGAACCAATAAAAATAAAAATAAAAGCTATCTTTATATACTTAAGCTTTACTATCTTAAAAAAAAGTGGCATTATCAAATGGGTGTAGAAATGTGTTATTATTATCATCCACATCCTATTAAACTCGTCATTTAATGTTTTCCACTCATTGTAAAAAGTAAATAGATCTTACGACTTAAGCAATCCAGAAATATCCAAAACTTCCCCTAAACGCATTGCAACCGCCGTGGCTAGGTGCCCAATGAGCAGTGTTGTTGCCACCGGGGCTAGATGCAAAACCTACTACTAAATTATCATTCCTCTTAATATAAAAAAAAGTGCCATGCACGCTTTAAAATTATTTCTCATCAACTTCAAATTTTACACGTTATTTCTTAAAAATATTTATGAAGAAGCGAGAATAAGAGTTATATGAAGAAGTCGGTGGGGTATAACTTAGTTGTGTGAGCTCTTCCACCTCCCACTTATGTGGGTAGATGTTCGAAATCTCAGGCATCCAATGAATATTTGTGTAAATCCCGCTCCTCCAATTCCTTATACTAAGAAAAGGGGATTACAAATATTTTTTTGTAAGATATAATATTAATTAATTATATATTTTTTGTAAGAGAAAAATAGTAATTAATATGGATGGTGGGATGCATATAATGGTGAATGAGAATAGTGAAATTCTACGAAAATGGAATATTAGTGAAGAAAACATATGATTTTGAATTATTTACTTGGTTAAAAATGCGAGAGTAAAAGAGTGGTGAATTCATGACACTTTCTAAGAAATGGATAAGATTGAAAGAAACAAACAAAAACAAGCCTTCCAGAGAATTCATGTTACTTAAAAATAAGTTAAAAAAGTCTGGTCTGATGCAATATAAGAAAAATGTGGGGGCCATTGGGCAAATAAACATAAACATATATGACGCCCTAGCTTTAGCCAAATAGGACGGTTAGAGCAAGCAGTTTCGTCATCTCTCTCTTCTCTGGAGGTTTCACAAGACGACCATGGATTCCCAATCCAACAATTAGCTCTCAATACTCTCTCTCTCTTTCTCTGGAGATAAAATAACAAGCCCTTGAAATTTTCTCTCGCTCAGACACTCATTTACGCTCAAGATCCGTACAGAAACACCCCGATTTTCTCACAATTTACCAAAACCCTAGCTTTGATTTTATTTGTTATCTTCGTTTTTAGCAATTTTCCTCTCATTTCGTTATCAAGTGCAGAAAACCTTTTAAATTCGCGCTTGGTTTCGCCGATTTACGGTTACGATCTAGCGGCCCAGAGAAACCCTAGTTCCGTTCCTTTAATTGTTCATTTGTTTTAGATTTTGGAATTTTTTTAGGGTTTTAGGGTTTGAATCGTGGTGATGAACAGTAACAGAGGGAGGTACCCTCCGGGGATCGGAGCTGGGAGAGGTGGCGGCATGAATGCAAACCCTGCATTTCAGTCTCGACCACCGCATCAGCAACAGTATGTACAGAGGAACCTTTTGCCGAACCATCATCATCAGCAGTACTTTCAGCAACAGCAGCATCAACAGCAGCAGCAGCAACAACAACAACAGTGGCTCAGGAGAGGTCAGTTGGGTGGGAGTACCAGTGCTGATTCGGCCGTTGATGAGGTCGAGAAGACAGTGCAGTCGGAAGCTGTCGACCCGAGGTGTGTGTTTGCTTTCATATAATGTATGTTTTATGGTTGGTTTTTCGTCGCGGTGGGAAAAATGGGTTGCTTATGAATCTGTTTGTGTTACTGTGCCATTTGATGAAATGGGTTTGGTTGAAGACTTGGATGTAATGATAATTTTAGAGGAATCAGGATATTGTGCAGAAGAATTAGGACTTTTGAAGTTCCATGTTGAATAAGGTGTTTAGCAGTGTGATATGCGGACATGTGTAGCATAAGACATTTAGGAGTATGAGGAAACTTTCTGATATTGGAAATGTAGGTAAATTGCTTTCTCATCTAGTGTTAATAAGGTCTCGCTAATTTATAAGCTTTTGACCTCTCATGGATATTACGACACATGGAGGAACTTATCTGATTCCTGTTTGGATTCCACTTGTATTTCAAGAACCTTGGAAAAAAAAACCTCTTTTGTGCTTGTCTTTTGGCGTTTCACTGTATAAAGTTTCAAATATTAATGAGGCCCACATAAGACCGTGAGGTTAGTCCAGTGGTAGGACGGGTCATGATAAGTGCTTCAGGAAGCATTCGCCTCGTGTTCAATTCCCCACGGATGTGTACACTCCTGTGGGGCCACCTTCCATTGGTTGTCCTGTTCGTTCGGATTGGAGCCTCGACATGTGCCCTTGGGGATTTTAGTCGGGTTGAAGACCCACAAGCATTTTTCTTGTTCTATTGACAAAAATTGTGGTTATAGTAATAAGTAATAACTATTCAACTTACTATAGCTCGCAGGACGTGTTGATCTATATAGGCTAAAGATGGAAAGACGTGATTACAGTAAGGGGGAATTTCTTTTTTGGGTAAAACCGCTAAGACTATGCTTAAAAAAATAACCGCCAAAACTAGTATGACAATCATTTTTTAATTGAAAATTAGTTCTTCAGATGGGTTTCTTCGACCAAGATTCTTGCTGTTTTTTAAATCATTGTAGTTGATAGTGTTTAATATTTTTAAACTAGGGTTTGTTAATTCAGTATAATTGAAGGCTGATTCTACGTTGCATTTATTTAGGAGGACTGAGAAGTCTTATTGTCCGAATAAATTTCTAGTAATTTTTGACATTGGAGTAGTTTCCATGTAGCCCTTGATTTTATAAATTATAAAGGAGGTTGTAAATATCAAGTTAGATGTTTGGCTGTTGGTATTTATACCTGCTGGGGAAGCTTTTTTGGTAACATATTTTGTTAACATTTATACTTGTCTCTTATTTTTTTCCCATTATTTTTCAACATATTATGATTCATGCTTTACATGGTATCTTATTTTGTTTTACTTATCTTTTTCAGTTCGCATGATTGGAAGGCGAGGTTAAATATTCCAGCACCTGATACTCGTTTCAGAACAGAGGTTCGTTATGTATTATTTGTTATATAATTCTTTATCATGGGTACCAATATTGTTAATGTGATGCTTCTGTATAGATTTTGAAGGGTGCATCATTCAACTGTTATGTAGTTTATTAAGATCAAGTTGTTTTCACATCTATAAACACAATGAATGATTAATAGTTAAAAATAATAATGACTGGTGATTTCCTAATCTGGTTACAAATGATTTCCTTCAGGATGTAACTGCAACTAAAGGAAACGAGTTTGAGGACTATTTTCTGAAGCGTGAGCTGCTTATGGGAATTTATGAGAAGGGATTTGAAAGACCATCCCCTATTCAGGAAGAAAGTATCCCAATTGCTTTAACTGGTAGTGATATTCTTGCTAGAGCTAAAAACGGAACGGGGAAAACAGCTGCATTTTGCATCCCTGCTTTGGAGAAAATTGATCAAGATAACAATGTAATACAAGGTTTGTTCTCTACCATCGAGTTGCATCTTCTGGCATATCATTAGGCCCCATCAAAAGATAATGGCTATTGTGGCACTTTAGTTTTTTATGCTGCTCGAATGGCTATAGAAATCTTTACTACTTAAGTGCTCGAGACACACAGTTCTGGCATAAAAAAATGCTCCCAATCTGTTCTATATATAGGAGGCAGATGTAGGATTATATTTCTATGTAGAAACAGCTTATGATTTTGCATTATTGTCCTTTTTGTGTTGATATGTGTTTTCTTCTGCAGTTGTTATTCTTGTTCCAACTCGCGAGTTGGCTCTTCAAACATCACAAGTCTGTAAGGAGCTAGGGAAGCATTTGCAAATTCAAGTTATGGTTACAACCGGAGGTACCAGCTTAAAGGATGATATCATGCGTTTATATCAACCAGTTCACTTGCTTGTCGGAACTCCTGGAAGAATTTTAGATCTTGCAAAGAAAGGTGTTTGCATCTTGAAAGATTGTTCTATGCTTGTTATGGATGAGGTAAATACTTATCCCCAACTTCCATTAAATTTACGTATTAAAAGAATTTTGTCCAACAGTTGTTGGCTACATGTTGTCATCCTTATTTCTCTTTTTGTTTGCATTGGTTTTAGGTTTCCACTTTTAAGAACTATTTTTATAGTAGATGTTCTTGCAATTAGTTGGTTAAATAGTAAGTTGAATTTCCAATTAGTCAAGCCCTGATCCGCATTTGCAACCTGTTTCATTCTTATGTTAGTTGGTATCTTTATGCTCCTGGAATTTTTGGTTTACTAGTTAAAATTGACTTATTAGAAGTGTCTTAAAGTGTGGTGGCCAGGTCATATCCCAATCGGTATCTCCATGTCTCCTGTAAAAGGGAGATACCAAGATCAGATTCCCTCATCTTCATTCAAGTCTGTGTGCACGTGCATGTGTATCCGTGTATGCAGTGGAGGAGGTGAAAACGGTTGGTTGGTTTTAGCATCATGAGCTGCAATGATCTAATGATGTTTTTGTCAATGTCTGACAGGCCGATAAGCTTTTGTCCCCGGAGTTTCAACCTTCAGTAGAGCAGCTGATCCGCTTCTTACCTTCACATCGACAAATTTTGATGTTTTCAGCTACATTTCCTGTTACTGTCAAGGACTTCAAGGATAGATATCTGCAAAAACCTTATGTTATCAACCTTATGGATGAGCTTACTCTAAAGGGTATTACACAATTTTATGCCTTTGTCGAGGAGAGACAGAAAGTCCACTGCCTAAACACTCTTTTCTCTAAGGTTTGATGTGAACTGTAGTTTTTGTGTATTGATTTATTATTATTTTTTTGACTTCCTGCGGGGTTCATGGATGTGATGATGGATCTGTTTTTCAGCTTCAAATAAATCAGTCAATCATATTCTGTAATTCTGTGAATCGGGTAGAGTTGTTGGCAAAGAAAATTACAGAACTCGGCTATTCTTGTTTTTATATCCATGCAAAGATGCTGCAAGACCATCGTAACAGAGTATTTCATGACTTCCGTAATGGTGCATGCAGAAATCTTGTTTGTACTGGTACGTTTTTTATGTGATTTGTTCTCTTTCTTTCTCTATCTCCCTCCTTCCCTCCCATTTTGTGAACCATAAGTTTCTTTCAGCACCATCACCTGTACATTCCAGTGATTTCAAATTTTTATTCTAAGTTTTTAAATAAATGTATATTTTTTTAGGTGGATCCTTTAAAACATATATCTGGTCTTACTAGAATTCTGCGTTTCTTAGCATGTGGCTGATTATTTTAGTTATATGATGATAGTGCAATTACTTCTCTTAGATCATGAACTCATGTTGGGTTTGAAGTTTTAACTCTTTGCTGTAATGGTGGAGTAAAAAAATAGTGCATGTGATAAACTCTTTTATTACTCATGTTGTATGTGGTTTACTTGATCTTCATATATCATGCTCAGTTCAATTGTGTGTTTCTGAGTTGTTCATTTCATTTTAAGTTGTACGTAGTATGGACAGATTCCTGATGTGTGTAATGAAAAAAAATCGATTCTTGAGATTTTCTCTAACTTTTTCCTCTTTTTTTGGGGGGCATAACTGCAGATCTATTTACAAGAGGAATAGATATTCAAGCAGTCAATGTTGTCATTAACTTTGATTTTCCAAAGAACTCAGAGACATATCTGCACAGGGTGCGTAAGAAACAGTCTTTGCAGAAATAAATAGTAGAAAGCTGATGCAGTATTTACACGTTGAAGTTATCTCTGTGCTGTTTTATGTATTTATCTTACATGCAGGTTGGTCGATCTGGAAGGTTTGGACACCTTGGTTTAGCTGTGAATTTGATCACCTATGAAGACCGCTTCAACTTGTATGTGCTTTTCTCTTCCAAATCCAAATTTTCTGCAATATAATGGGGGCTCATTATTTATAATATATTCTGTTCCTGCAGGTATAGAATTGAGCAAGAACTAGGGACCGAGATAAAGCAAATTCCTCCCCATATTGATCAGGCAATTTATTGCCGGTGATTGGTGGTTGAAACTTTGCTGTGTCGTCAATGATGGTAAGGTTTGGGTACATGGTGCTAAAGAACTAGTTTTTTAACAGTGCATTTAAGCATGCCTGTCTTCTATCTCTAATTCTGTTATTTTCATGTTAGCATGTGCATTTTCATACTCTCCTATGGTATATGCAATGTATTGTTATATGTTGTGTGGAAAATAGGGGAAGGGGGTGGGGGCGAATGGTGGACCTAGTTCATGTTGACATTCCCGTCTATCAACTTCTCAGAGTATCAATTGGGAATTCTTAATGGAACTTGATCAACTTATGCTCTACTAAAGCTGCCATGTATTTTTTTCAAAAAAGGGAAGCATAAAATATGAATTTATAAAGATTCAAAAGGTTCTACTAAATTTGAATAATATGCTTTAAAACAGTTTGGAGTTCCGAGTTACCAAGTAATATATCTGTCTGAATTGACTGTTTAAAGTTTTGGGTGGATTTATGCAATGGATAATGTGTGTTTTCCTTTCTGCTTTTAGGGATGATGGACCCTTCTCCATACAAGAAGCTATAGCTCTGATGGGAGGAAATACTTTCTGATGCATCGTCCCTTGAAATGCTTCTGTTTTCGTAGTCCTGAAACTTTAATTGGACCTTGAGGGAGTTCTTAGGTTGGCCTATAGGTACCAGATAGATGCTGGGTCCAGTGCAGAACTGCCTTTGTTTTTATTAACAGACTGGTTTGTAATACTTGCTGTTTTTCGGGTTTAGCCACTGTTGAACTTCTGAAGGATAGCTTGTGCAAGCAGGGGAAATAAAACTCTGCTTTCTTTTTTTTTTGTTTATGTTTTTCCTTTTTAGCCTTGACCAGCTTGTTCCATGCTCTCAAATAGTTAATGTATTATCTGACTTTGGTTGAATTGTCATTCCCCTCTGCTCGCCCCTTCGATATCTTTGATTTGCCTTCTTGAAAGTTAATGATTTTGCATTGGAGCCATTATTATATGTGGCCGGGTGATTGACTGGTGGTAATGTGAGAAGCCATGGATGGGTGAACGGTATCAGTTGGTTTGGGGCGAGTTTCAGTTCTCTGCTAAAAGGGGAGGGCTGGAAGAGTCTATATAACTGTGAATGTTTAGGGTTTCCTAAAATACTTGCCGTTTTTAACTATGCAAGTAAACTACCAACAAAATTCTGTGAAAAGTTTCGACCAAAAATACACATTCTGCAAAAAGTGATGAAGGAGGGACTATGGTTGGGCCTTAAGGTCCGTGGATCAAATAATCTTTGGGGACCATGGGTTAGCCTCTGCTCAACTTTAAGATCAAGTAGCAAGGGTTTGTAGTTCAAGTAATTAAGAGATTTTACCTCACACTCGATGTCTTAGGTTCGATTCCTTCATCTTGCTTGTATGAAATTTATCTTGCTTGTATGAAAGAAAAAGGAAAAACTTGCATTGGGTAATAGGTCAAGAGTTCAAATCCCTTTTCCTTTTTTTTTTTAAAAAAAATTATACGAAAATCCCTTTCATTGTAAATTAAAAAAAAAACAAAAAACAAAAAAGGTAAAAAAGAAGGGTCAGAAAAAGAGTGAAAAGGTATAGCGAGCTTGACCAAGATTGACCAAATCTCACATTGCAACTAAAAGAACTTTAAGGGGGAGCATCTAAAATTCTTGAAATAAAAGGGTAGAAAGTGTAAATATAAAGATAAAGGAGCAGGCAGAGTGACTCCGTTTGAACTCTAGGCGCTAAGAATCCAAGGATTTGTGACTGATCTGATTTCAACAACTGCTCGAAATCTCAGATCAGTGCATGAGTGAGGGGGTTATGAAATACAAATAAAAGAATTTAATAGCAACAATCTGAAATTCTTCAAAGCCACTGGGAAGGAAGTGTAAAATCATAAACCCCAAACAGATTACAGAAGAGAAAATGAAATACCATACCAGTCAGCTAACTTGTAACGGATTTAACAGCCCAAGAAAAACTTTCCGCCAAGAAATTAGTTAAAAGCCTCTTCCTCTTCACCAGGTCTAGTCACAATGCCTTGAGCTCTCATCCCAAAAGAATCTCTCTCTCTCTCTCTCTGTGTTACTTTTCCCTCAAGAAACAGAAACTCTCTCTCTGTTCATCACCATGTTTCAGTTTAGCCTTGACCCATGTGCTTCCTATCTAAGGCACGCGCTTTCATGCTTCATGCTGCTGGGCCCTGACCACTATGTCGAGCTCTGCGTCACAGCAAACGACGTCACATTGGTAGGAGCCGTAGGTGACCCTGAGGAAGGATGCATGCCCGAAACCCCAAACGTCGTCTTAGCCCTGCAGTTGACACCTTCCAACTTCCACACTTTTAGCTGCACTGAGAACGTCCGCCTTGGCTTGCCCTGCGGTATGCTGTTCAGGGAACTCTTTGATGCCAAGGGTGGTGATTTTCTCAGTCTCTCTGGTGATATCAGCCGAGATAACATTGACTTTGAGCTCCTCAGTGTCGGTAAGTACATACCAATATTCTTAGTTTCTTTCAATTTTTATTTATTTCAAGATTTCAAGATTTGGGTCTTAATTGTTCCTTGGAAAATTCTTCTTTTTCAATATTTCTAGTCGGTTCTTGGAAATTTTGGAAATCGACCCATCACACTACTTCACCAATATTCTGGCATAAACTTCGAAGGTTTTTGGCGCTCTCTTCTTTTTCAAGTTTATGGGTTTTGTTTGAAATCTGTATAAATTTGATGAACTGTCTGCCTTTTTGCGTTCTAACAGCCACAACAATAGATTTGATGAAATTATCTGCATTGTTTGTCATTTGGTTCCAAAAATTAATCTCGTTTCTGGGTTTTTCAGTTTCTTGAGGATTTTTGTCAATACGCATTGTCTGATTTTTTAAATTTCAAGATTCTAAGATTTGGGTCTTTCTAGTTGGTTTTTGGAAATGTAGAAATTTGGAAATCGACCCATCACAGTACTTTACCAATATTCTGACACAAACCTGGAACTCCGTAGTCCGTTCGTTTTCAAGTTTATGGGTTTTCATTTGGTTTAAAAAATTATTCTTGTTGCTGGGTTGGTCAGTTTCTTGAGGATTTGTAAAATGTGTTTTAATTTGAGGAACTGTCTGCGTTTTCTGCGTTCTTATAGATAGACAATACATTTGGTGAAGTATCTGCATCGTTTGTTATTGGGGCTTTGTTCTTTATCAAGTTTATGGTCGTTTTAGCTTTTGTCATTTGGTTTGGAGATATGTTCTTTTTCAAGTTTTAACTTTAAATTTGTCATTTGGTTTATCAGTTTCTTCAGGATGTTTGTGTTCTAATATTCTCTCCTTATCTAATTTTTCTTGTCTCTTTTTGTTTACAATTTCAATAATGCTAGGAACTATGGAAATGAAGGTTGCTGAAATTCCATTGCTTTCAAGGAGGTCTGGTCAGATAACTTTACCTCAGCTCCAAAATGAACGTCTAGTGATCATTGGGATAGCTGCGGAGCTGTTTAGGGTTCTTATCCTCAGTTCGCGCGATCGATTTGGGAGTACAGGTACAATTTGTAACAAAAATTACTGTTTGAACATGTTGATCATTTTCTTAGAATTTCTCATTTCAGTGCTTGACAGCAGTGTCATGCTTCACAATCCTTTGTCATTTACTGTGATAATCTCTAATGAGTTCAGATTGTGATAATCTTTGTTTGTGATGTATGTATGGATGCTGATACACATTCACAAGGTTCACAAGATTTTATATATAATCTTGTATATGTTGCTCACTAGACTGGTTGGTACGTGTCATTGCAGTTACTGTATACGCAATAGGTAAGCAAGTTGTACTCCGTGGACAAGATAAGGCGGTTGTTCTCAGGAAGGTATTTTCTCAACCTTATGTGTGATTCGTAGTGTAGAACAACTTATCACAGCTTGCCAAATATGTTAGTTATGGTCTGTCAATCAATTTTCTGAAAACACAGTATTCATTAAGCAAATTCTGGTTCTGATTCTCATAGGAAAACGTCCATACTTCCGTGCCATGAAATAATACGACACCATCCTTCAATTTCATATATTTTTCTTTTTCACTGACTAAATTTGCTGTCATACACTTCACAAGAAGTTCAATTTCCTAATGACATAAATGATCAAAGTTTCCTTGTTTATTTTGTTGTGTATCAGGAGGATTGTGTTATTTGGAATCCTGTGGCGGATCGAGGTTTCTTGAAGTTCAGTACCGATAAGGCTAACGCACTGCTGAATGCTTCAATTCTGTCAAACATGGTGTGGTTGTCTGGCCAGTGCAATGGTCCATCTTGCATGCTGAATTTCCCTTTTGGTAGACTTGGAAGCCTCACGTTTTACTTTGATGAAGATAATGCGAGCTCAGAAGGTAATGCGGGCTCAGAAGATGATGTGGTTTGATCACAAAAGATGAAGAGAATGGTCTTACCATCTCTGAGTTCTTACTCAAATCAGATTTTAATGATTCAAATTCTTTTTCTCCATTTTCAAAATAATGTGATTTGATCTGTCTGTTGTACAAATGAGCAAACAAAAGATGATGTGAGTTGTGAGATACTTTGATTTGTCTGTTGTACTTGGTAAAGTCTGATCCTATTCATCATAATCCTTTGTAAACATTGCAGCTTTACATAATGGTTAGAATTTGGTTTGGAAGTTGAATTTTTTGTCTGCTTTTTCTTGCAATTTCCCCCTCTCTGTTGAGTTCCAAAACAACTCAAGAACTTAATTTTGTCAGTGGATCTGATTGTTGCTAGATGATAAGTGGCAGGAGTCTAATTGTTAAATAGGGGAAAACATTTCTGTTTACAACCTTAAGAACTTCTTTGCAAGTTTCTTGAGCCTTATCAATTGCGAGAGGGGGAAATTGAACATGACCTCGAGCCAGTGAGAGAAAATGTCAGGGTAAGTGAGGTATTTTTGCAATAAAAAAAACCTTCAATCGCAAGAATATGAAATTTTTGAAACAACAGAAAATGGAAATTTAACCGTCAGCTGGCTTGTAACGAATTTAACCGTCACAATTTTTGAGCTCATCCCAAAAGAAGTTTACTCTAAGTATGCAATATTGTTGACCAATTAAGAGTTCTATAAATTTGTTTAAGCCCAACTATAAAATAAGCTAAAAGGAAATGGGCCTCTATCTTTGAAAAGAAAATGGGCCTCTATCTTTTTAATTTCCAAACCCAATTTGCACGGAGCCTCCAAAATTAATAGACCAATCAAGGACTTCAAGTATAAATATCTACAAACACCTTAAATTATCAACCTTAAGGATGAGCTTACTCTAACTTAATTTTACACTCCCTAAACACTTTTTTTTTTTTCTTCCCTCTCTATGTAGGCTTGATGTATTGATTTATCACTTCTTGCCAGGTTTATGGGTGTGATGATGAATCTTCTGTTTTCAGCTTCAAATAATTCAGTCAAATCATATTTTGTAATTTTGTGAATCCATTCTATTTTTCAAATTGTCTCAGAAGGTAATGCGATCTCAGAAGATGATTTGTTTTGGTAAACTTGTCTGTTGTACTTGGTAATTCATCATAATCCTTTGTAAACAATGCAGCTTTACATAATGGTTAGAATTTGGTTTGGAAGTTGAATTTTTTGTCTCCTTTTTCTTGCAAGTTCCAAAACATAATGCTAGGAGAAAAGTTGGTGGTGAAGGATTGTGACTTTGTGAGGATGATTGTTGAGTTCCAAAACAACTCAAGAACTTAATTTTGAGAGTGGGTCTAATTGTTGCTAGATGATAAGTGGCAAGAGTCTAATTGTTGAATAGGGGAAAACATTTCTGTTTACAACCTTAAGAACTTCTTTGCAAGTTTCTTGAGCCTTGTCAATTGCGAGAGGGAGAAATTGAACATGACCTCGAGCCCGTGCGAGAAAATGTCAAGGTAATTGAGGGGTATTTTGCAATAAAAAAAAACTTCAATAGCAAGAATATGAAATTCTTGAAACAACAGAAAATGGAAATTTAACCGTCAGCTGGCTTGTAATGAATTTAACCGTCACAATTTTTGAGCTCATCCCAAAAGAAGTTTACTCAAAGCATGCAATATTGACCAGTTAAGAGTTAATAAAACAAATAAAGATTGAATTTATTGTTCCACAAATTTGTTTAAGCCCAACTATAAAATAAGCTAGAAGGAGCCCATTAGTGTATCCAAACTCCATTATCTGAAAAGAAAATGGGCATCTATCTTTTTAATTACCCAACCCAATTTGCATGGGGTCTCCAAAATTAATGGACCGATCAACGACTTCAGGCATAAATATTTACAAAAATCTTAAATTATCAACCTTATGCAATATTGACATAAGAGTTGTGTGTGTGTGAATTTCCTATCCCCTCTAATTTAAATTATTGCTTATACATGTATATATATACTTAGGGGCAGATTGGGAATGAAAAAGTAAAATATTTACTCATATTAATACATCCGACTACAAGTCAACACATAGCTGGTTGAATTTCACATGGTATAATCAACAAATGGGGCTTCCGTTGCAACTAAAAAGAACTTGGAGGGAATCATCTAAAATTCTTGAAATAACAGGGTAGAAACTGTAAATATAATAAGTATCCGATTTTAACAACTGTTGGAAATCTCGGCTCAGTGCATGAATTAGGGGGGTATGAATACAAATAAAAGAACTTGAATGGCAACAATCTGAAATTCTTCAAAACCACAGGGGAGGAAGTGTAAAATTATAAACCCCAAACAGAGCAGACCGTCCAAGCAGAACTTTCCCGCCAAGAAAGTAGTTAAAAACCTCTTATTCACACAATCCTTAGCTCTCTCTCTCTCTCTCTCTCTCTGCTACTTTCCCAGAAAGAAACCCAAACTCTCTCTCTCCCTCTCCCTCTCTTTCACTCTGTTCATCACCATGTATCAATTTCGCCTGGACCCAACTGGTTCTACTTTCCCAGAAAGAAACCCAAACTCTCTCTCTCCCTCTCCCTCTCTTTCACTCTGTTCATCACCATGTATCAATTTAGCCTGGACCCAACTGGTTTTCTTCTAAGGCAGGCGGTGTCAACCGTCATGCAAGCGCAGAAGGGCCACCGCTATTGTGACCTCTGCATCTCACCAAACAGCGTCACATTTGGAATATCCGTAACAGATCCCAGTACCGGAATCCCAAACATTTACTTCACCCTGCCGATGGAACCTTCGAACTTCTACACATTTCGCTGCCGACGGATCCTCTATCTTAAAGTGGACATCCGTAAAATGCACGACCAACTCCTTAGGGCCACCGCTTATGATTTTCTCAGTCTCTCTGGTGATATCACCCTTAATCACATAGACTTTGAGCTCGTCGATGCCAGTAAGTACTTAGTTTCTTTAATTTTTTTATTTCATGATTTCAAGATTTGGGTCTTAATTGTTCCTTGGTTTTAATTGTTTCTGGCATAAACTTGGAAGGTTTTTGGCTCTCTTCTTTTTCAAGTTTATGTGTTTTGTTTCAAATCTGTTTAATTTTGATGAACTATCTGCCCTTTTGGGTTCTAATAGCCACATCAATAGATTTGATGAATTATCTGCATCGTTTGTCATTGGGCTCTGTTCTTTTTCAAGTTTATGTTCGTTTTAACTTTGTCATTTGGTTCCAAAAATTAATCTTGTTTCTGCGTTCGCATTATCTGAATTTGTATTTCAAGATTTTAAGATTTGGGTATTAATTGTAATCGTCTCTTGGGAATTTGTTCTCTTTCTAGTTGGTTCTTGCAAATGTAGAAATTTGGAAATCGACCCATCACAGTACTTTACCAATACTCTGACATAAACCTGGGAGGTTACTGGGACTCTGTCCATTTTCAAGTTTATGGTTTTTCATTTTATTCAAGTTTACGGTTTCTTGAGGATTTGTATTTAGTAATGTTTGTTGTAAAATGTGTTTAAATTTGAGGAATTATCTGCGTTTTTTGCGTTCTTATAGCTAGAACAATACATTTGGGGCTCTGTTAAATTTGAGGAAGTATCTGCATCGTTTGTTATTGGTGAAGTATCTGCCTTTTTGGGCTCTGTTCTTTTTCAAGTTTATGTTCGTTTGAACTTTGTCATTTTGTTCCAAAAATTAATCTTGTTTCTGGGTTTATCAGTTTCTTGAGGAATTTTGTCTTGGAAATGTGGAAATTTGGAAATCAACCTATCACAGTACTTTACCAATATTCTTCTTTTTCAAGTTTCTTGACGATTTGTATTTCCTAATGTTGTTGTAAAATGGGTTTAAATTTGAGGAATTGGCTGCACTTTTTGCGTTCTTATAGCTAGAACGATAAATTTGATGAATTACCTGCCTTTTTGCGTTATCTAATTTTTCTCGTCTATTTTTGTTTACAATTTCAATAATGCTAGGAACTAAGCAAATCAGGGCCACTGAAATTCCAGTGATTTCAAGCAATTATGGTCGGATAGCTATACCTCGGCTCTTTCGTGAATATCAAGTGATCGTGGGGATACCTGCGGAGATGTTTAGGATTATGATCCTCACTCTGCACTCTATCGGATTTGAAGGTACAATGTGTAACACAGAATTACTGTTTGAAATTCAGGGCATGCCCTTTTGAATTCTCATTTCAGTGCTTGACAGTTACTGTGACTTTGCATATAATCTCTAATGAGCTCAGATCGTGATAATCTTTGTCTATGCTGTATGTATGCATGCTGATACACCCTCATAAGGTTCACAAGATTTTAAGGCATTCCTTAACTCTTCATAATAATCTTGTATATGTTGCTCACTCGACTGGTACGTGTCATCGCAGCTTATGCAGAAGTAAGAGATACTGTTGTTTTTCTTGGAGTAGGCAACCAGGCGGTTGCTCTCCCGAAGGTATTTCCCCAACCTTTCGTGTGATTCATAGCAGAAAACGTCCATTCTTCTGTGCCATGAAATAATATTTTTCGTTTTCACTGACTAGATTTGCTGTTTTATTTTGTTGTGTATCAGGATGAAAAATGTATTATTGAGGGTGATGTGGGGATCTTGCTGTTCAGTATCGAAAATATTAAGGCACTGGTGAGCGCTTCAATTCTGTCGAAGATGGTGTGGTTGCTTGGCCAGTCCGGGGGTCCATTTGCCGCACTGAATTTCCCTTTTGGTAACCTTGGCAACATGTTGTTTTACTTTGGCCCTGTACTCTGAAGCCTGAAGGTGATGAGAATGGTCTTACCATCACTGAGTTCTTACTCAAAACAGATTTTAACGATGCAAATTCTTTTTCTCCATTTTCAAGATAATGCGGTTTGATCACAAGTGTAAATCACCAAACAAAAGATGATGTGAGAGTGAGATACTTTGAGTTGTCTGTTGTCACAAGTGTAAAGTCTGATTCTATTCATAATAATCCTTTTTGTAAACAATGCAGCTTTACATATAATGGTTAGAATTTGGTTTATCTGTCTGTTTTTTCTGTTACTTATTATTAAACTTCTTGCGAGTTCCAAAACTTCTAGGAGAAATGTTGTTGGTGGTGAAAGTATAAATTTCTGCAGATCAGAACTTCTGGGTTTTAAATTGAGAAGAATCCAAGTTTGGATAGTGGAGATGATCTTGGTGAAAAACAGAAACAAAAATAATGTAACTCGGAGGTTCTGTGGCATAGTCTAATTGTTTAATTGGTTCTGTAAGCATGCGTGGGAAGACAGATTCCACAAAACCTTGCTTTTTTTTTTTTCTTTTTCTTTTTTTCTGTAGCTTAATAACTTCTTTGCAAGTTTGATATGATTTCAGTGCTAGAAGAAAAGTTTTTGGTATTGAAGGGTCACTCTTGAGTCTTTTCAATTGCGAGAGGGAGAAATTGAACATGATCTCGAATACTCTTAAGCGCTTGAGCTATAAGCTCATTGTAGTTAGTTAGACACTGTTATATCATATATCGGTAATCCTTTGTAAACAATGCAGCTTTACATTATCTGTCTGCTTTTCTGTAACTTATTATTAAACTTCTTGCAAGTTCCAAAATATAATTGAAGGAGAAGGATCACTCTAATCAACACATGGATTGTCACTTTGTGGGGAAAGTGTAATTTCTGCTACTTAAGAAAATCCTGGATTTTGAGAACAGCTTCATTGTTGGTACTTGGTAATAAACAAGCACGCTATAAGAAGCATCCGAATTTTCATAGTGGTGATTTTGTTAAATAACTTCTGGAAGAAAAGTTTTCTTAATAACTGCTTTTCTGTAATTTTTTTGGGGAAAATTGGGGGAAAAAAGGGGACAATCCGCAGAGAGTGACGAAAGAATACATTAAAGGTATAGCCGTATGGCGATACTCCAAAATAAAATACTTCAAAAGGTCAAGCCGATTGGTTATACTATTTTTTTTGTATTTGAAAAAAAAAGGGTATAGCCGGTCGGCGATACTATTTTTGTCAAAAAAAATTTAAAAAAAATCAAATATAGCCGCACAGCTATACTATTAAAAAAAAATAAGAATAAACCGGGTATAGCCGCGCGGCTATACTAATTTTATAAAAAAGAGAAACGCCTTGCGATTAGGTGCCCACGTGCCAAAATCAGGAATTCAATTCCTAATTTTGTGTGGACCCACTTACTTTTTAATTCCTTCATGTGAAGTAAATACATGAATCCGCCATAGTTGGAATTCAATTCCTGATTAATAAACACGCCATGAGATAAATGGAGAAAACAATTGTAAAAGCCTTGGGAAATCAAAGGCCACTAATTGTATCACTTTTTTGAGATGTAGCCTAACGGCTCATGCTTTAAATTTTATGTTCACTGCAGCGTTTTTTTTTCATTTATAAAATACGTATATACAAATTATTCATGAACAGTACATTTAAGTTTAATAATACGCGTATTTTTCACAAATGTACGGTAAATAGTAAATTTTTTTTTAAAAGTACACGTATTAACTAACTAGGATTCAAACTTAAATATAGAACAAAAACAACACAAAATCTAAGGCTATTACAGTCAATTATAATGAAATTTTCAAAATTTTAAGAAGTAGAGTTTCACATGTCCCAATATTATCTTAAGAAATTCAAATTGCTTTTTTTTTTAAAAAAATATTAAATGAATATGTAATAAATATATAAAATATTAAATGAATATATAATACAAATATTAAAAATTAATTGGGCCTCCCTAGACAATGGGCCGGGGCGATCACACCTCCTTTCTTTTTTCAAAGCCAGCACTGCATGGTAGCCCTCGTGCTAGTTCCGCCATTCCTTCCTCCTACCCTCCTATTTTGCGAACCATAAGTTTCTTTCAGCACTACATACACTGATTTTAAAATTTTTAAAAATAAATAAATATTTTGTAGGCGGATCGTTTGAAAAATATAGCTGATCGTACGAGAAATCTGTGTTTCTCACTTTTCTTAGATCATAATTTGTTGTGATGGCGGACAAAGAAGATGGATGGGCTGTGTTAGGTTGGGCCTCAAAGTCCTCAAAATCCATGTAACCGTACAATGTTGGACTGGACCTTTTAAGTTTTGATATGATAGCCGTTGTTCAAACTTAGGACCAAGGCCTCCAAGTAGAGAGGGTGGGTAGAGAAATGAGTTAGAATTAAGTTAGATTAAGCGTTCTATTTTCTTCGATTAATATTTAAAAAAATCCAACACGAGCGGCGTGGCCTTTCCGATAAGGTTGGTAAGAGTCGAACTCTTGTTATGAACGTGGAAAAAAAGTGCTATACCACTAGTCATAAACTTCCATTATCAGTAGAAGAAGTATCTTGATGAGTAATGTTATATATGTGCTTTATTTACTGATCACATCTTTTTTTACAAAGTTGAATCACACTTGTACGGTTTAATTTCACATGGAGAGGTACCGTAAGTTATAACCAATAAATGGGGTTTCGTTGCAAATAAAAGAACTTTAAGGGGATGCATCTGAATTTCTTGAAACAACAGGGGAGAAAGTGTAAATATAACACACACCAAAACAGAAAAATGTGAGTCACCTGCTTCCATTCCACTCATTCTTCAACCATCCAAACTCTGTTACTTTCCCGCCAAGAAACTCTCTCTCTCTCTCTCTCTCTCTCTCTGTTCATCACCATGTTTGGACTGAGGCTGGACCAAGGTGCTGTTCTTCTTCTAAGGAGGGCTGTGGAACCCTTCATTCTGATGCCTTGCTTCTATGGCAAAATGTACATCTCACCAGATGACCTCACAATTATAGCAGCCTCAACTCCCGACCCCATCCTCCATAACCCGAGCGTTGTCACAGCCTTGCGGTTGCGACCTTCCTTCTTCAACAACTTCTACTGCGATGAAAGCCTCTGTCTTGTCCTCAACCTCAACCGCTTGTACGTCATTCTCTGTCAAGCCAGAGATGACGATTTTCTTGGTATCTATGGTAATGGAACCCATGACCGGGTTTCTGTTGTGCTTCTCGGTTCCGGTGAGTATTAATTAACCCATTTTGATTGGTTTCAAGGTTTCACGAATTGGTTCTCAATTATTTAACGTTTCAAGAATTGGGTTTCTTCTGTTTCAAGTCTATGATAGTTTTAGTGGGTTCTTTGAAAAATGGAAATCGACCCATCACAGTAACTTGGAAGGTTATTGGGTTTCTGTTCTTTTTTATGCTCGTTTTAGCTTTGCCATTTGGTTTCAAGAATCAATCTTGTTGCTGGGTTTATCAGTGTCTTGAGGATTTTTGCCAATTTGTCCACAATCTTGTTTTGTTGTACTTGTATCATCTTGTTTTGTCTTGGGGATTTTTCCCTATCTGATTCTTTTCTATGTTTGTTTATGATTTCAAAAATTATAGCAACTCTGGAATTCCGTCATGCGAACATGGACTTGGTTTCAATTCACCAGGTTCAGATGAATGTACCTCAGTTCCAATATGAATATCAAGTGATCGTTGGGATACCTTCGATGCTGTTTAGAACTTCTATCGTGGAACTGAATCAATTTGGGGTGACAGGTACTTTGTCATTGTGTAATAGCTTGCTGAAAGTCTATCTTAATTTAATGAATATCAAGTGATCGTCGGGAAATTTACTGATTGAAATTCAGGACATATTAATCATTTCTAAGGAATTCTCATTTCAGTGCTTCACTGTGATAATGCTTCCCAATTCTTTCCCCAGCTTTGTCATTTATGGCCTACTTAGCATTTGTTTTACGCAGGGTGTAAATTTTAGAAGTGGGAATTTATAGGTCAAGATGAATTGCATCATAAGCTCTAGTTTGTAACAGATGGTGAAGTCTTGTTTGTGATGTATGCATGCTGATAGCATTCACAATCATGCAATATTGCAAATCTTAGAGACAAAAATTATGATACATTGTTTATTCATTGTGGTTTCCTAAAGCCAGAACTTACCTGGAATATTATAAGCATCATAGGTATTTACGTTAAGTGAACTGGGAAAACTTTGCAAACACCTTCAAGTAACATCTGTTCGTAATATTAAAGCTCACAAGATTTTATGGCATTTCACCAAATTTGTTTTTTCATCGAATTGATGCTTTTAATACCTAAATGTTCATATCTAACATCTTGTATATGTTACTCTCAGTTTTTGCAGAGGTGACAGATACTCGAGTTACGTTCTCTGTCGGAAATGCGGAGGTTGTTCTCAGCAAAGAGGTAATTCCCAACTTGATATGTGATTCTTTTTCTTATTAATTAGTAGAAGTCAATTTGGTGTTCAGCTTTATCACATCTTCGCTACAATGTTGTACTTATGGTTTACCATTCATCTGTACCGTGATGTGCCAAGCTTTGATCGATACTCTGATGAAATAGTGTATAAGCTGCAGTATATCCCTTAATTTTAGGATATGGTCCTTCAATTTTCTAATCTTCACCATCTAAATTTGCTGTCAAACACTAGAAAATGATAACATGATCAATATTTCCTTGTTTTAATGTTGTGCAGCTGGAGCAATGTATTATTGGGGGTGCCACGAACGAAGATCCGGTTTCCTTGGTGTTCCATCTCTGGTGCTTTCCGGCGATGGTGTATGCTTCAGCTGTGTCAGACATGGTGTGGTTGCTCGGCCAGTCCAACGGTTTACATGTCATGCTGAACTGCCCTGTTGGTGAACACGGCAACCGCATGTTTTACATTGGCTGAAGCCCGGAGGCAATGAACAAACTCCTGCAAATTCTTTTTCTCCATTACCTTCTAATCACAAATGTAAATTACCAACAAAGGATGATGTGAGATATATTGAGGTGTCTGTTTTACTAAGTTTGACAATGCAGCTTTACATAGTGAAATTGCAGTTAATGTTGAAATGTAAGGTCTCCAAATAGTGCTATTCATCATTACCCTCTGTAGACAATGCAGTTAAATTCATCGAACTTCGGTTACTTTTTTTTTTTTTTTTTCTGTAACTTCTTTGCCAGTTTCATACGATTTCAATGCTAGAAGAAAAGTTCTTGGTCTTGAAGGGTCACTCTTGAACTTGAGCCTTATCAATTGCGAGAGGAAGAAATTGAACATGACCTCGATAATCGAGATACATACTCACTTGAGCTATAAACTCATTGTTATATCATATATACCACATCTCTGTTACACTTCCATCCTGTAAGCGAAAATCTCAGGGTAAACGAGGGGTATCATTGCAATAAAAAGAACTTCAATGGCAAGAATCTGAAATTCTTGAAACAACAGGACAGAAAATTGAAAATTGAACAGAAAATTGAAATTCCAAACTAGTCAGCTGACTTTTAACGAATTTAACCGTCCAAGTTTATCAAAAACTTTCCCGCCAAGAACTAGTTGAGGCCTCTTTCTCTTCACCAAGTCTAGTCACAATCACGAAGAAGTTCAATTTCCTTAGCTCTGTTACTTTCCCATCAAGAAACTCAAACTCCCTCTCTCTCTCTCTCTCTCTCTCTCTCTCTCTCTCTCTCTCTCTCTCTCTCTCTCTCTCTCTCTCTCTCTCTCTCTCTCTCTCTCTCTCTCTCTCTCTCTCTCTCTCTCTCTCTCTCTCTCTCTCTCTCTCTCTCTCTCTCTCTCTCTCTCTCTCTCTCTCTCTCTCTCTCTCTCTCTCTCTCTCTCTCTCTCTCTCTCTCTCTCTCTCTCTCTCTCTCTCTCTCTCTCTCTCTCTCTCTCTCTCTCTCTCTCTCTCTCTCTCTCTCTCTCTCTCTCTCTCTCTCTCTCTCTCTCTCTCTCTCTCTCTCTCTCTCTCTCTCTCTCTCTCTCTCTCTCTCTCTCTCTCTCTCTCTCTCTCTCTCTCTCTCTCTCTCTCTCTCTCTCTCTCTCTCTCTCTCTCTCTCTCTCTCTCTCTCTCTCTCTCTCTCTCTCTCTCTCTCTCTCTCTCTCTCTCTCTCTCTCTCTCTCTCTCTCTCTCTCTCTTCACCACCATGTTTACATTTACCCTGAATCCAACTACTCTTTTTCTAAGGCAAGCCGTGGGAACCTTCGTTCAGATGGGTTTCAGAGAAGGCGTGATCTGTGTCGCACCTGACGACGTCACATTGGTGGCAGGGGTGGCAGGCGTGGGCGCCCCTGTCTTAGCCCTGAGGATGAAACCTTGTATGTTCAGCTCCTTTAGCTGCACTAAGAGCGTCTGCCTGGAATTTGACCTCATTCTCTTCTACCAAAAACTCTTTCAAGTCTTCAAGGGTGATTTATGTTGGGAAAATGGCTCACCTAAGGATACAAGGTTGGTTTTGGCGCTGAAAGGAAGATTTTGAATCTGCCTAAAAGCGACCGGTCGCTAGGCATTTGCGACCGGTCGTTTTGAAGCAGATTCGAAGTCTGGAGCAACATCAACGAGCGACCGGTCGCCAGTTCTTTGCGACCGGTCGCAGGAAGCTAGCGACCGGTCGCTTAACATTTGCGACCGGTCGTTTAGAAGCAGATTCAAAGTCTGGAGGGAAAACTTCTGGCGACCGGTCGCCCATTCCTGACGACCGGTCGCTCCAGTCGTGCTGTGATG